AGACACCTTAGTGAGGACAGCCTCCATTTCCTCATCAGCAAAATGGAGACAATGCTACATACTGGAACACTAGTGCACTAAAGTGCTTTCAGATTTAATAAAATAATATAGCTAAAACCTTTATGACTGAGTACGGCACATAACCCGAGCTCCATAAATGTTAGATTAGAAAAAAGCTGAACTTGGCAAGGACCGTGACTGAATAGGACCACACCTCTCTGCAGATGTGGGCTGAGGAAGTTTTGGTAGGCAGGAACCCAACATTCTGTTGAAACAGCACAAAGTTTCAGATTCTACTCCATCAATTCGTCTAGGCCAAAATTATTTTGACTGTTTTAAGAGTCAATGCTAACTAAATACCCATCTTAACTATAAGCAAATCTCATTAAAGCACCTTAAGAACATATGACCTTCAAAAGATGGGGAGTGACTGTCTAATGGGAATACAGCTTCTTTTTGGAGTGATGAAAACAACTCTGGCATTAGATGGTGGTGGTGATTATATGACATGGTGAATATATTGAAAACAACTGAACTATATACTTTATATAAAGGTTAAATGTGAACTTTACCTTAATAAAACAAAAAAGATGGCTTCTCTGGTGGTCCAGTAGTTAAGAATCACCTTGCAATGCAGGGGACACTGGTTTGACCCCTGGTCCAGGAAGACCTGACATACCTCGAGGCAACTAGGTCTGTGTGCCACAAATAATGAGCCTGTGCTCTGGAGCTCAGGAACCACAACTACTGGAGCCCTTGCTCCGCAACAAGGGAAGCCACTATGAGAAGCCCACGTACCACAACTGGAAAGTAGCCCCCGCTCGCTGCAACTAAAGAAAGCCCGTGCAGCAACGAAGACCCAGTATAGTAAAAATAAATAAAGAAAGAAAGAATTTTTAAGAGAGAGAGAACATATGCCCCTGAGCAATACGGCAACCAGTTATGACCTATCAGTTCTAAGTTCAGTTCATTTCAGTTGCTCAGTCGTATCTGACTCTTTGTGACCCCATGGACTGCAGCACACCAGGCCTCCCTGCTCCTTAGGTTGTATAATATATACCTAAGGAACTCAGGTGAACAATTTATCCTAAAAGCAAACAGGTACACATTTTGCATGGAAACTCCAATAACCTAACAGGTCTGCAATTTGAGGGACAAAATAATGGCCCTTTTTAAAAAATGGACTGACTACTCTTCAGCACAAGTCCATGGAACTAGGTCCAGAGTCTCAGCACAGTTAAGAAGCAGGTTAAGAGCCCAAGCCCACTGGTCAAAGCTGCTGCTCTCTCACAGCCCTCCTCCCTGGGTGCTCATTTACTACACATTTCTTGGTCCCGTTTACAAAGAAGTCCTGATGAACTGCACACAGGACCCAGTCAAACCAGGAGCTTATAAAGCCGGACAAGCCTCTACCAGAAAGAAAGGAACCTCACTCACCAGAAAGTGAAATGTGAAAGTGAAAGTCACTCAGTCGTGTCCATCTCTTTGCAATCCCATGGACTCTATAATCCATGGAACTCTCCAGGCCAAAATACTGGAGTGGGTAGCCTTTCCCTTCTCCAGGGGATCTTCCCAACACAGGGATTGAGCCCAGGACTCCCTGCCCTGGCAGGCGGATGCTTTACCAGTTGAGCCACAAGGGAAGTCCAAGAATAGTGGAGTGGGTAGCCTATCCCTTCTCCAGCGGATCTTCCCGACCCAGGGTCTCCTGCATTGCAGGCAGATTCTTTACCAAGTGAGCTATCAGGGAAGCCCTCACTCACCAGGTGACCATCTCAAATTGAGTGGTTGTGTATGCATCTGTCTGCATCACTTAATTGGGTGGACACAGGCATTCTCATACAGGTTTATTAAAACTGAATTTTCCTGACACAATATGAAGTTTACAAAAATGTTTTGTTTTGTTAAGCCCCCCAAGTAGCTTATCCAAATTAGCGTTCTATGAGTCTCTGTGAAAGGTTTTATTTTTGTTCATTTCCCCCTCTTCTTAATCAGGAAGATTTCATTCAACTGGGCAACTGAGCAGAAAGATTGGTTCCTTCTAATTTTTCAAATCTCCCCAGTCTCATCCCAAGTGAAAACATGGACTAAGGAGTGTTATAACGGTCACCTCTAGAAACCAACCCTTTTCTTCTGGGTATACTTGACAAATGTTTATTGATTAAGGTCCCACAGCTCATTTTCTTCTATTTAATATGTGGCCTCAGCTAATGACTCAGACTTCTAGCACAAATTCTTCCTTTCTTAAACAGACTAACAGACCCTTTTTACCTCCGTACAAAGACTTCCGTTTTCACAACCTAATTAAACAATAGGCAGAAGATCTGAATAGACATTTTTCCAAAGAAAACATCAGGATGGCCAACAGGCACATAAAAAGATGCTCAATATTACTCTTCATGAGAGAAATGCAAATCAAAACCACAGTGAGGACTTCCCTGGCAGTACAGTGGATGAGAATCCACCTGCTAACGCAGGGGACGTGGGTTCAGTTTCTGGTCCAGGACGATTCCACATGCCGCAGAGCGACTAAGCTGGTGCACCACAATGCCTGCGCCTAGAGCCAGTGCGCCGCAGCTATGAGAAGCCCACGTACCACAACTGGAAAGTAGCCCCCGCTCGCTGCAACTAAAGAAAGCCCGTGCAGCAACGAAGACCCAGTATAGTAAAAATAAAGAAAGAAAGAAAGAATTTTTAAGAGAGAGAGAACATATGCCCCTGAGCAATACGGCAACCAGTTATGACCTATCAGTTCTAAGTTCAGTTCATTTCAGTTGCTCAGTCGTATCTGACTCTTTGTGACCCCATGGACTGCAGCACACCAGGCCTCCCTGCTCCTTAGGTTGTATAATATATACCTAAGGAACTCAGGTGAACAATTTATCCTAAAAGCAAACAGGTACACATTTTGCATGGAAACTCCAATAACCTAACAGGTCTGCAATTTGAGGGACAAAATAATGGCCCTTTTTAAAAAATGGACTGACTACTCTTCAGCACAAGTCCATGGAACTAGGTCCAGAGTCTCAGCACAGTTAAGAAGCAGGTTAAGAGCCCAAGCCCACTGGTCAAAGCTGCTGCTCTCTCACAGCCCTCCTCCCTGGGTGCTCATTTACTACACATTTCTTGGTCCCGTTTACAAAGAAGTCCTGATGAACTGCACACAGGACCCAGTCAAACCAGGAGCTTATAAAGCCGGACAAGCCTCTACCAGAAAGAAAGGAACCTCACTCACCAGAAAGTGAAATGTGAAAGTGAAAGTCACTCAGTCGTGTCCATCTCTTTGCAATCCCATGGACTCTATAATCCATGGAACTCTCCAGGCCAAAATACTGGAGTGGGTAGCCTTTCCCTTCTCCAGGGGATCTTCCCAACACAGGGATTGAGCCCAGGACTCCCTGCCCTGGCAGGCGGATGCTTTACCAGTTGAGCCACAAGGGAAGTCCAAGAATAGTGGAGTGGGTAGCCTATCCCTTCTCCAGCGGATCTTCCCGACCCAGGGTCTCCTGCATTGCAGGCAGATTCTTTACCAAGTGAGCTATCAGGGAAGCCCTCACTCACCAGGTGACCATCTCAAATTGAGTGGTTGTGTATGCATCTGTCTGCATCACTTAATTGGGTGGACACAGGCATTCTCATACAGGTTTATTAAAACTGAATTTTCCTGACACAATATGAAGTTTACAAAAATGTTTTGTTTTGTTAAGCCCCCCAAGTAGCTTATCCAAATTAGCGTTCTATGAGTCTCTGTGAAAGGTTTTATTTTTGTTCATTTCCCCCTCTTCTTAATCAGGAAGATTTCATTCAACTGGGCAACTGAGCAGAAAGATTGGTTCCTTCTAATTTTTCAAATCTCCCCAGTCTCATCCCAAGTGAAAACATGGACTAAGGAGTGTTATAACGGTCACCTCTAGAAACCAACCCTTTTCTTCTGGGTATACTTGACAAATGTTTATTGATTAAGGTCCCACAGCTCATTTTCTTCTATTTAATATGTGGCCTCAGCTAATGACTCAGACTTCTAGCACAAATTCTTCCTTTCTTAAACAGACTAACAGACCCTTTTTACCTCCGTACAAAGACTTCCGTTTTCACAACCTAATTAAACAATAGGCAGAAGATCTGAATAGACATTTTTCCAAAGAAAACATCAGGATGGCCAACAGGCACATAAAAAGATGCTCAATATTACTCTTCATGAGAGAAATGCAAATCAAAACCACAGTGAGGACTTCCCTGGCAGTACAGTGGATGAGAATCCACCTGCTAACGCAGGGGACGTGGGTTCAGTTTCTGGTCCAGGACGATTCCACATGCCGCAGAGCGACTAAGCTGGTGCACCACAATGCCTGCGCCTAGAGCCAGTGCGCCGCAGCAAGGCCACACGGCGAGAAGCCGGCACACCACAGCACAGAGGGCCGTGCTCCCCACACCCAGAGCGAGCCCACGTGCGGCAAGAAGACCAAGTGCGGCCAAAAGTAAATAAAACAAGTCTGAACATTAAAAAAGAGTAAGACTCTAACCCTATAAAATGGGAGCAATTATTACCCAAACTACAGAACCAAGGCAGAGATGTTAACAAACCCACACACACCAGTCTGCCCAGGAAGAGAACTAGTGTAGAACTAAGCCTGGATCTGAGCCGTCAGTCTGTCTCCAGGCCCCACATGTGGAACCTCTAGTGCCACATGACCACTCTCACTGTAAAGAATTTAACTTGGAACTTACCAGGAAATAGTTTTAATCAAGGAAACCAAGTAATAGATAAATGAAAATTCAGAATCACAGCCCTTTTCTTACATGACAACTTGCAGAGGTTGTAAAACACTGCAAATAAAAACACTGTCACTTTAACGTCATAAAAAATGTGAAACAGGCAACAGTGAGAAAGAATTCTTTGTTTAGCCAACAATGCAGTAGCTCAGCTAACTGAGGCTACACAAGCACAATTCTCTGAATGATACCATGTGCTATTAAAAAGAGGTTTCAGACAGGATTACCTTATTTTCCTCGATGTTCCTTTTCAACTTTTCTTCCAAGTCCTTGGTTTCTTCTGAGCCCTTGACATTGTTCTGTTCATAATTTTCACATGCTCCCTTAAGTTGCTCTTGTAAAACCTGGTACTCCTTTTCAATCTGTGAAATACCCCCCTACAAATATGATACAAAATTACCTATCAAAAGTAGTTTTAAAAGTCTATTTCTGATCTTGTTCTGAAATGTCTCTTCAGATAAACAAGAGGATACAAGGCAGATGAAAATTTACAAGGAAAATGTCACAATAATTCAAGAATTTAAAACCCCTTACATTGTTTAGCAAAGTCAGCTCTTTTTTAAAAAAGCTATTCATATTACTGGAATTCATAAGGAAACTTTCCAAGAGGCACCATAATTAGCTCTGAATATTTGTTTTAGAAGGGTTCAGTATTAAATAGTCTGATATGACTGTCATCCTCTACAATTAACATCAAGAACTATCTACTGGCCCTAAGAACCGCAAATATTATGCATGCATTAGATATGAATAGGACATATTAGTTTTGGCCCTACTTTTATAGCGTTTCAAATAGACGGTTGCTGATTATTTTTAAAAGACGACTTAAATTATTATCAAGAAATTATTTTCAGTTATGTAACTGTCTCCTGGACAGCTTTAAAAAAAGCAAACAGAAGTCATACTGTACTGTGAAATGCTGGCAAGAAACAAGCAGCATTTATGTATTTGTAAGCCTTTCATCCTGCTGAGACGGGCAGCAGTCACACAGCTGTTGTGAATGGAGCACCTGTCAGACGCTGGCAGCTCCTCTCAGCTGCAGGCAACTGCCCTGCCCGGTTACCAGGGCTCTGGCATCCAGGTTTGGGACTCTAAGCCAGGTGCACAGACCTGGCCCACCTTTCCCACCCCCTGCACCTCTTACAGCACATTAGCGTTTCCCAAGTGTACAAAGGCAGGGAAGTGAGGTTCTGAAATTCTGTTCACTGTCCGAGAACTGTGAGCTATGGCCAAGCTGACCACACACACCATCTGCTGTTTTCGTCATCCAGACTGGAAGTTCGGCCCTATGAATACAGTCCATGTTTAAATAATCAGCTAGATGGCGAACTCATTACCCATGAGTAGGCCTTTACGGTTTCAGATCTTAGTTATTTCTATTTTCATTCTCATTTCAGCAAAAGAGTCACACTGCAGCTTGGTATTATGAACGAATTCATATGCCCTAAACTGCTGACAGAGACATTGTTAGTGTTATGTAGCAACAGATAACATGCGTTCTATTCATGTCTGTTTTGAGACTCTGTAAAATTAAAATCTTTAGAAAGCCAATCCTTTTAATACTAGGTCTTCCTATTCAAGTACACTGAACATTTCTCATTTACTTAAGTATTCTGTGTCTCTCTCAGTAGCATTTTAAAGTTTTCTTTCCAAGATAATATATCTGTTACTATTGAGAATGAAATCTTTTCCATTACTATGTTTTGCAATGGGTTGTTTACATACAGAAAGGTATTTTATCCATTTATGTTTCTGAATTCTCTTACTTATATTAATAAATTTTCTAATTGAATCATCCTTCACGTGGTTAAGATTTTTATAATAATTTTTGTATTATTCACGTGAATAAGCTTTTATTTATAAATACAGGCTCATTATACCAGTTAAAACAATAAAGCTGTTAAGATAGAAAAAAGCTTTTCCTCTGCCTCTCCTTTCCAAATGTGAACAATAAAACAATTTTTTTGTTATGTTCTAAAGCTATTCTACTTCCCTGGTGGCTCAGCAGTAAGAATCTGCCTGCCAATGCAGGAGACGCATGTTCAATCCCTGAGTCGGGAAGATCCCCTCGAGTAGGAAACGGCACTCCAGTATGCCTGCCTGAGAAACCCCGTGGAGAGAGGAGCCATGGAGTTGCACGAGGGTCAGACACGACTTGGTGACTCAACAGCAAGGCTTATTCTATGATGTTTTATAAGGAATAACTCGTTTCAAAATAGTTCTAAGTTCATCATTCTCATTTAGTTAAAGTAATGAAAATTAAACCTTCTAACACTTTAATACAGCTCTGACTCACCTGTTGTGACTCAAAAGGACCATATGGTTCAGTATTGACTTCTTGATGTGTCATATTCCAAGACACCTTCGGAGCAAAACAAGCACATTCAATCTGTCTCAAACACTCTAGTAAAATAAATCCATCATTGGATAACATTTTGAAACATGTCCATAATTTTTTCAAGGTTTTTTTGTCAGTTTAGATAACATTCTATGCTTTCTACAAATGTTTGTAACAGGAAAGAGTATCGTTTGGAATTGGTAAAAGTGAAAATGATTTTGGTTCATTACTCAACATAATTTTTCAAAGCCTTCTAGAAAGCTTTTAAAAAACTTAATGGGAGTCTACAAGCAATAAATGCTGGAGAGGGTGTGGAGAAAAGGGAACCCTCTTACACTGTTGGTGGGAATGCAAATTAGTACAGCCACTATGGAAAACAGTGTGGAGATTTCTTAAAAAGCTGGAAATAGAACTGCCATATGACCCAGCAATCCCACTTCTGGGCATACACACCGAGGAAACCAGATCTGAAAGAGACACGTGCACCCCAATGTTCATCGCAGCACTGTTTATAATAGCCAGGACATGGAAGCAACCTAGATGCCCATCAGCAGACGAATGGATGAGGAAGCTGTGGTACATATACACCATGGAATATTACTCAGCCATTAAAAAGAATTCATTTGAATCAGTTCTAATGAGATGGATGAAACTGGAGCCCATTATACAGAGCGAAGTAAGCCAGAAAGATAAAGACCATTACAGTATACTAACACATATATATGGAATTTAGAAAGATGGTAACGATAACCCTATATGCAAAACAGAAAAAGAGACTCAGATGTATAGAACAGACTTGTGGACTCTGGGAGAAGGCGAGGGTGGGATGTTTCAAGAGAACAGCATCGAAACATGTATATTATCTAGGGTGAAACAGATCACCAGCCCAGGTTGGGTGCATGAGACAAGTGCTCGGGCCTGGTGCACTGGGAAGACCCAGAGGGATCAGGTGGAGAGGGAGGTGGGAGGGGGGACCGGGATGGGGAATACATGTAAATCCATGGCTAATTCATTTCAATGTATGACAAAAACTACTGTAATGATGTAAAGTAATTAGCCTCCAAATAAAAAAAAATAAAATAAAGGCAAAAAAAAAAAAAACAAACTTAATGGGTAGGGGGATAACCAATAAGGGCTTCATGCATTCATGCCTTATTAAGGTTAACTACAGAGAAACCTTATTCTTGAGACTATTAGGAAGGAACATTTATTCATATCCCTTGTTTCTCTCCATCTGGTTGTGCTCTGTATCTCCCTCACTCCCCCGCTGGTTTGACAGGAGAAACTGGGCATGTGCAGCCCTGACTCTCTCTTTTTTTCTCTTTCTCTTGGGAGCTGCCCGTGCAGAGAGCACATTTTTCCCGTTCCTCTTCCTTGCACTGTCTTGGGGGCAAGCACCCAAGTTGGAAGGCCTTCTAGTCCAGCACCGCTGTGAATGACGGGGGAAGCTGCTAAGTCATGGGCTTCAGTCTTGGGACAGACACTCTCTAGAGAAAAGAACCACATCATCCTACTGCACTTTTATTAATTATCAAGGTGGTGCTTTGGCTCCATCTGCTGATTCTACTGCTTTATGTCCCAACTGGTGCAAAACTTGGATAGGAAGGAGGGTCTTACTTACTACACTCCAAAATTCCTTTTGGCATTACCTGTCATGCCCTAAAAAAGGGTTCATAAAGTCCATTATTTTACAGGATTTTAGTAAATATAATGGCAATGAAAAATGAAGAGGAAAATGTAACTCTGATATTAAGAAGACTTTCTCATTTGGTCTTACCTGTACAGCAACCACCTGTGTACATGGAATATGTGTTACTTCATCGGTGCTTTCCGGATTTACTTCCCACGTGGCAGAATCTCCACAGCGGTCATCGTTTCTGCTAGCCTCACTCTGGGCTATATCAGCACTATTCGAGCTGTACTCTGACTTCACCGGTGTTTCCAAAGATTCCTCAAGGATCTGTGTTTCGGAGGCAATCTGGCTACCAGGGGCATTCTCAGCACTGAAATGATGAGACTCAAAGTGCAGCTCCGTTATGTCACTTGCTACAAAAGACGGCACCACAGGTATTGGTCTCTGCAGGTGATACTCAGCAGGAACGCTGGCCAGAGGGGTGTAAATGCTATACTGGGGCAAAGTCGGTAACACGCTGATGAAGGCTGGTGGTGTCTGGGTGATGTCAAACCCCCGAAAGGGAAGGTATGTACAGTATCCTGTGACCAGCTGGGGTCGAGGCCAATAGGTCGCTTTCACTTCCTCGGGAACTGGTTTGGGAGAATTAGAGGAGACTGGCTTGTGACCAGTCTCCTCAGAAACTGGCCTGGGAGAATCAGAAGACACCCCTTTGGGCTTCTCATCCTCAGAAACTGATCTGGAAGAATTGTCAGAAACTGGTTTTGGCTTCCCAGTGTCACGAGCTGACTGGGGAGAATTGGCAGATGCAGGCTGAGGCCTCATTTCCTCGGAAGCTGGTGCTGAAGGTACCTCAGACACTGGTTTAGATATTACATCTGGTTTAAATTCCCTAGCAGTTGGATTCAGTGGTAGTTTAACTCGCAAACACTCTCCTGTTTTTGAAATTTCTTCTACTTTTGTCTTAATGTTTTTCTTCTTTCTTTTTTTCTTGAGCCGTAACGCGACTTTCTTCAACGCAATACAGTTGTCAATCACAACAAAACGAGGACACCCCAGGAGAAACGCTTTCAAACCTCCTGCTTTTTCTAGTATCTGTCGTGTTTCTTCTGGGAAGAACTCATATTCTTCAGAAAACATCTTGTTATTCATGTCCAAGGGACCATGTTCCTCCAACAACTGAGAGAAATAGCTAGGCAAAAAAATGTACATGTGTTATTATAAGGAAGCACCTACACATGGTTTTCTGAAAAAAATATTTCTCAAAAATTTCCCCAAAGCAAAATACTATTTCTAACTGACCTGAACACCTCCTCAACAAACATATTATACTCATATTAAATCTGAGAAAGGCTAACTGTAATCAATGATACTACAAACAAAAGTTTACTCCTCAGAAAATAATCCTTTAAAAGATATTTTTTGTAGAGAAAAAAAAGACTAAAAAGTTATTTTTTATAAGCTGTGATTAAATAATCATTCAAAATACATACATATATATTTTTAATACTTGCTTCTGGATTTAAAAAAATATATATTTATTTATTTGGCTACCCCTCGTCTTAGTTGTGGCAAGTGAGATCTTTATTTGTAGCATGTGGATCTAGCTCCCTGACCAGGGATCAAACCCACGCCTCCTGCAATAGAAGTGCATAGAATCACTGGACTGCCAGGGAAGTCTCTGTAATATGTTTTCATGTATCTACTGGCCATCTATATGTCTTTCTTTGGGAAAATGTTTATTTGAATCCTCTGCCCACTTCTAAACTGAACTGTTTTTTTTTTTTTGCTGTTGAGTTGCCTCAGTTCTTCATACATTTTGGGTATTAACTCCTTACCAGATATATGATTGCAAATATGTGTATACATATTTTCATAATTGAATGATGACCATTAGTGTCTTAAACGATCCTTGATGGACTGCCATAGTGCCTGTGCATGTCACTGTCAGCACGGGGACAAGGGGTAGAAATGGGAAAAATATTTCAGAAAGCATCCCCATCCCAGTGCTCTAGGTGTGCCCCTCTGAAAAACCACTATTTTCTACACGCTGATGATTCCTTTCTTTTTAAAGAAGTAGATTAAAGATCAGGACCCAATTTCCTCTTTCTTGGAAGAAAGCATGACAAGTAAGCAAGAACCACATGTTCTTTCTGGTAAGCAAAAACTGACAGGGAAAAAAAACATGATTCTTATTTCACAAAGTTATTTTTATTTGCAACACACTGTGATTCAACCTATGATCAATTTCACTCTCCTGCTATCTGTAAGCTACATGCTAGGATCACATCTTCTACTTTCTTTTTGAAACCTTCCACTTTAACTGGTTAGTAAATCTTGACTAATTAACACTACTAAAGAACTGTTAGGAAAAACTAAATGCAGAATACCATATACTACCTGCACTGTAGATACACTATCTGCAACATATAATACCATATACTATAACAGTATATAATACCATATACTGTCTGAATGCAGAATACCATATACTTCAACTATTTGTATTATAAAACATTAGAAGGAAGGGGGTCACTGAAAACAAATCAGTCCAATTCCCTACTTTAAAGTGAAATATTTAAGTCAAGAAAGAAAGCAGTTATCACAATATTCTTAACTCCATATATATTACGCTTTCTATTCTACATTCTTTTCAGATAGAAAAGTTTAGTTTTTCTTTTACCCATTGGCCAATTAAAATATCATCTTTAAGCCAATCATCACTAATGTTTATTTTTGAAAATTCAAAGAAAGAATTAAGTTGTGAGGTGTGACTTCCTGTAACTTCCCGACTTTCTCCTATTATAAGATATAAACTCCATTTCAAAATACACAAACAAATCAACCTCTTTTTTTCTCATAAAGTTACTTAATTTCTTTCCACTTATAAAGGTAATGTAGTCTTTAAGAAGCAAACTCCTGAAAACTACAGTTTAGCTTCAGTTTAGATGCTTGAAGCAAAGTCTAGCATCTTTAAGAAATACTAGTATGGTCCCCTGGAGAAGGAAATGGCTACCCACTCCAGTACTCTTGCCTGGAGAATCCCAGGGACAGATGAGCCTGGCGGGCTATAGTCCATGGGGTCGCAAAAGGTCGGACACAACTGAGTGACTGAACAACAATAACAGTATAGTTTTATAGCTGATTCCAGGTTGTCATCCAGTTCTCTGGGAATATGATTTGTTCAGCACTTCAACTCTGAAGAAAAACTATGAAGAGGGATCCAAGAGCATATAACTAAATTGAAGAGGAATAATGCAACTGAGAAAAATAGAAAAAATAACCAAATTACAGAGGAGTGATGGATTTTCCAGGAATTCGCTTACAAATTAATTTTCTATTGCAGATCTCAGCCCCTCATCATCTTTCCCTAAAGAAAGCATCACGTACTACTTATTAATCCCAAGCTTTTAAAAAAAAGAAAAAAAAAAAGGCAAATGCTTTTTAGATTTTCCTGAACTCTATTACTCTATCCACCCCCCTCAGACTTGACTTTAGTGTTAATTTTTTTCTTCTTCTTCTTTTTTTAAAAATTTATTTTTTTTTTTTTGGCCACACAGCATGTGGGATCTTAGGTCCCTGACCAAGGATCACAACTGTGCCCCTGCAGAGTCCTAACTTTACTGAACCACTAGGGAAGTTCCCTGGTGTTAATTTCACATTCACATTTTCAAACCAAAAGTAATTCAGCCCAAAGTTTCTTAGAAGAAAAAGTCTATTTCTCTTTTCCTAGATGAATGTCGGGAGGTCAAGTTTTCAGTAGAAAACAGAGATACAGGGTTCTGTATCTGTACTACCACCCCAGCTGGACAGCTCTCTCAGCAGTAGTCACCAGATCCTGGTATCCCTTCCCAGTGAAGGGTAATACTTCACCAAGCCACATTAAGTGTCACCAGGCTTAGGAGACACCAAACTACAACATCATATCAACGGAAAGACAATGAAAGCAAATAATCATACCATTCCTTGTCAAATATATACTGTGGAATTTATGATAAAAGATTATGGGTGGAAGCTTCATTTATCATTCCTATCCTAGGACAGTTTTGGAAATACAAAGAATCTACATTAGCAGCTCAAACTGACACAACTAATAAACACTAGGGTTCTAAAAAAATTTTTAATAAAAATTTCTGATTAACTTTGTGTAATACATGACCAAAGCCATAGAAATACTTTTCTTCCCCAGAGTTTGTGAGCCAAACACAGATTCTTTTAATAAATAGAAAGGGACACAAATTTAAAATAACTTAAGATCTTTTACTGGCAGCCTCAACGTAACAGTTTTAGGAACGTTAAGACACTTACTCGTACAGAGTTGAACATTTCTGTTTTGGGTTTATGTCCCACAGCTTCTTATTCCGGACAATATACTCATTACTGTGCTGTCCATACAGAGCTTCAAATTCTTCTACATCCTGCCGGAGGTGATCGGGAACTACAAAGGGGCCTGCAGAATTTAAACTGCGTTTGCTGATAAAAAAAAAAACAAACAAATGATTTTCTCCTGAATAATAAACTTCTACGTGACCCAGAATAACATTTAAATTGGAATAAAGATAATGTATTATTCAACTTTTGGATGCAAAAACATACTACCAGAGAATTTAATGCAGAAAAATTAACTTTCCACAACTTTAGTCAAGAGATACCTGAGTACTAAGTTCTTTTATTAATAATTATCAAGAGTAATTTCTTTAAAGTCTTCTGGTTTAGAAAAAAAAAATCAATGTTGTATTAATTATAACGTGTTAAAAAGCAAAATGAAAGGTTTTATTACAATGGTGATCAATTTAAGTTAAAGTGAGACTGAGACTGGTGAAAGATACTTAAAGTTTTTTTGTTTTTTAAAGAGTATAAGATTCTAGCACTCTGCAAAGCTGGAGCAGTGCTGAGTGTGGGCTTTAAACCGGATTGCTGGCTTAAACTCTGGCTCTGCTGTGTATGAGCTTTGTGTCCTTGGGCACAGCCAACTGCACTGTGCCTGTGTTTCCTTCTGTGTAAAATGCATGTAACAGTATTTATCTCCAAGAAAGAAGAATGGATAGGATGAGTTTATATAGACATAGAAAGCTCTTAAAATAGCACCTGGTACATAAGTGCTATCAAAATATAGGCTCTTATTATTTAAACTTGAAACAATTCCCCCATTCAAAGAGTTCACGAAAATATGCAAAACAATTGTTACTACAACTCATTTAAGAAACGTGGGGGGGAACGTTTGTGGGTCTTTGGTCCATAAAGGAATATGATATAAAAAACTTACTTGCTATTCACTAGTTTTATTTCTTGTATCTACCCGTCTCTTGAAAACTCAGTTTCAACAACCACATCCACTGGAAATTGCTACTTAAGGCTGAACCATAATATCATATACAGCCTCCAAAATATCTTCCTAGTAATTATCAACAGGACATCCTCTTCATTGAACATTTTAAAGAGTATTTTCTAGGATTTTCAACAGTATCCTATACATATAAATTCTCAACCTTATCAAATGAATGTTATCAACCCTCTGATTTTAACAGTTTATATCAATTCTTAACACCGACAGCCTACACTATATAAATCAACCACAATGGGTCACATAAGGTTGTTGTAACAGATGCATGTCTTGAGGCAGAGAAGTTAGGGAAACAAAAGACAAGTTTAAAGGACAACAGATTAATATACCTTTTAAGTTAAAATAAAAGCAAAAACTCTCAGACTGTGCTTACATATAGTCTTCACCTGAAGTGACAGTCTCATTGTTTGGTGTGACTGAAGGTGTTCCAGATCCAACTAACATAGGCTGGTTTAAAAAACAAAAATGACAATGATTTTCCACATTTACCACTAAAACTGATGAATGCTTCTATAACTATGCACAAAAATTGCCAATATATATGACTTATCTTACGACCAACCTAGATAGCACATTAAAAAGCAGAGACATTACTTTGCCAACAAAGGTCTGACTAGTCAAGGCTATGGTTTTTCCAGTGGTCATATATGGATGTGAGCGTTGGACTGTGAAGAAAGCTAAGCACCGAAGAATTGATGCTTTTGAACTGTGGTGTTGGAGAAGACTCTTGAGAATCCCTTGGACTGCAAGGAGATCCAACCAGTCCATCTTAAAGGAGATCAGTCCTAGGTGTTCTTTGGAAGGACTGATGCTGAAGCTGAAACTCCAATACTCTGGCCACCTCATGCGAAGAGTTGACTCATTGGAAAAGACCCTGATGCTGGGAGGGATCGGGGGCAGGAGGAGAATGGGACGACAGAGGATGAGATGGCTGGATGGCATCACCAACTTGACGGACATGAGTATGAGTAAACTCTGGGAGTTGGTGATGGACAGGGAGGCCTGGCGTGCTGTGATTCACGGGGTCGCAAAGAGTCGGACACGACTGAGCGACTGAACTGAACTGACTGATGACTTATCTAAATTTTCTTGTGAACAGGAACATAACATTAATTAAATTTTCAATAGCCAAAAATAGGCACAAGCTAACAGTTAGTTTCTAACACTCCAAAAATTTTTAAACTATCACTGTGGAAACTCTCATTTTAGATAAACGACAGACATATAATCAAAGATAAAAACAAAAGTTGTATTCGAACTTATAAGCTACTCTTATCCACCCCTAATTTTCAACCCCTGCCTCTCATTTGATTCTGCAAATGTGTGATAGCCATTAAGACCCTACCTTAAGGCTTAAAAGTAATGTCCCAGTCATCTCACGGGCTGGAAGCAGAGCTTTAGGTGAGCGGAAGGAAGGAGTCTATCAATTCTGAGACTCTGTCATGATGGTTAGTATTTATCTTTTTTAAGTCTTTATTGAATTTGTTATAATACTGGCTCCTGTTGTTTATGTTCTTTTGTTTTTTGGCCACAAGGCATGTGGGATCTTAGCTGTCCATCCAGAGATTGAATCCTTACCCTGGGCACTGGAAAGTGACAGCTTAACCACTGGACCACCAGGGAACTCTCAGCATCTTTACTTTAAATATTTAGGTAATAATTCCATTAATTAATAATAATATGCATCATGTCTTGTAATACAGATAATGACACAAGGGCACAGGGAAGTCAATTTGCCCAAGGTCACAGAGATAATAAAAATAATAATTGGTAGAACCAAGGTTAAGAACCCAGATCTGCCTGATCTCAAAGCAGCCTTGGCCACACTGAGAACAGCCATACAAAGTGCTACATTATGACAATGTCACTAGGAAATACCTAGAAAATGGAAAGGATAATAAAGAGTCTCTATTAAGAATTACTTACATATGACATGAAACTTAAACTTCCTCAAAATGCAGAAAACTGGCAAAACATCTTTAGAGCCTAGAAAGTCTTTCTCAACAAAGTTCTTCAAAATATCTTAAGAACTAGTTAATTCTTATTTATAAACTCAATTAAGAATCAATACAGAAAATACTCCATACCTTTGAATCTTTTGGCTTCTTTTTCTTGCCTTTGTTTTTTATCTTGGTAGAATTAAACTAAAAAGCAAAAAAAAAAAGAAAATTATTGAACACTCAAATAATAGTATTATGAAGCTACCATAAATTATAAAGATACCATTCTGATTTTCATAGACTAGTCCTAAGTTCAAGTACATAAAATGTTTACCAACAATTAACACTTTAGTGTGTTAAGCCCCACTGTTTTGATTTATAATAGAAAATAAGAAAAATACTAAATGACACCTAATGCTATATAACTAAAATTAATCGTTCCAACTTAAGATGCTGGTACTCATGTTCAACAAGGTTTATGTCATTTCAAGTAATTAATGAGACTTACAAAGTAACTGCAGCTATGAGCTTATCATATTTTAATGACTTTCCTTTACTAAGCAAACTAGACATTCTGCATTTGGGCAGACACCAGGGACCCAATAGTGAAGTTAGAAGCAGCGTCTAACTTTCCATAGGGTTATGTCATCTGTGCTTCCACAGTTAGCCAGATAGGATCTGACTGAACAAAGACAAAATTTTAAGTACAGACAACTTGATCCTAAAAAAATCACTAAACAAGTATTTCTGTTCAAAAACTGCCACAAACTAATTAAGGAAGACAGCTCTGGAATTATTTTAACTTTTTAAGCTCAATTGTAAGCCACCCAAAGTCCATTTGTTTTCCTTCAGAACAAAACATAATTTTAATCATTACAAGGTAACTTCATTTTTATGCCATCAGATGACTCAAGAACTCCTTTCCTATTTCTATGATTAACATTCATTAGTTGTGAACATTTATGGACACTGTCTAATTTAAGCTGCAGAGTGTGCTGACTGTTGTTCCAAGAGGAAGACTGGGATTACCCTTTCTAAGAAAATTGTCATGTTATCCAGAAGTCCTCCAGATTTGGTTCTGGAGTGCCTCCTGGGATGTAAACAAACACCGGGTCCTCCCTCTCCTCCATCAGCGACACAAATTAGAATAAAACACTGAAAATGATGAAATAACTTACTGGCACGTCACCACTGTCCTGTTTCCTTAATACAGTGCAGCGGCTGTCTGTGAGAAGACACATGGTTTTGTAAGGAAACGAAAGGCTTATATTGCCGTACGACACACCAAGTCCTTAAAGAAAACCACCCCAGATACTACTAACATCCACTATGTCCTACTCCTTATTTGGCTTTGACACAAGTTTAGTTTAGAAACCAAGAGCAAACTGACTGACTCAGCAGAAAACCAACTACTAAGAATCACGAAATTTCAATCCAACCCAGTACAACTTGAGTTTTTTCTAGACACCAAACTCTACGTATGCTAGGTGCTGGGAATACAGAAATGTATAGAAACGTCCCTGCCACCAATAAAGCTCATGTTCTGCAAACTACACAGAGAGGCAAACACCACAGCCCAGTGTGCTAAAGGCCACAGTAAATGCAGTTCAAACAAAGCTGACAGAGTAACGAAGTCTTCAAGGGGAGCAGCCCAAGGAGGGGTCAGGGAGGGCTGTAGGGAACAGAGGACTTGAGATGAACCAGCAAGAGGCGGGGGTGTGAGCAGGGACAGCACAAGGCACGTTTGGGCGCAGCAGGAAGTGAGGGGCATAGTCAGAGGGGAGATGGGAGCACACTGCTGAGCCCAGACAGACACCGTGACCTCAACCTGCAGGCAAAAGGAAGCAAGTGCTTCCCACAAAATACTTAAAGTGGATCAGACAGGTGTTCTAGAAGAGTCAGCAGGAGCAGCGTGAGAGAAAGGTTTGGAGTGGGAGGGTCAGAGGCATGGAGACCAGTTGGGAGACTACTGAGATCATGGAAAGGTTATTAAGATCCTGGCCTAGGAAAGTAGAGATGGACAGGGAAGGGCAAATCAAGAATATAGCTTACTTGACTTGGAAACAAACTAGACAAAGGGTAAAAGGCAAGAGGAAGCGTCAAGACCAATTTTAGCGTTTCCTGCTTGAAAACAATATGTAAAGCACTATCATCTTGAGATAAATCTCATATGGCTTAAGTCATTCCAACAGGGAGACATGCATACGGGATCTAAAAAGAGTTTGGGTCTCCCAATTATCACAGCACTGGTGATGTTATTGACCACTCTTAATTTATAAGATAAGTGGATTTTGAAAAGTTTTTAACCAATATAATTGTTCCTTTAAATGAAAGGAGATAAAATTGAAAATGTTGGGGTAAGTGTGAGAGGCAGAGGTGGTGGATTTGAAAATCTGTTGGCTGGTCATTTGGTTGGTGGCTTGCAACCCTATGACTGAGAGCAGAGAAACTGTCACAACTGGATGGACTGGGTATTTTAGGCACAGGACACAAGAAGCATGGAAAATGCACAATGAAAGGGAATTGTGTCCTTTTGAAATGTCCCATGCAATCCAAACATGCACCAAGTTTTGCAAGCTCAGTCCCAGAACAGCATTTTATTCCCAGCAGCAGCAAGCTGAGAGCAATCAATCCAGGCTATCAAGAAGCATGTCATCCCCAGTCATGAAGCAGTGTCCCCGGAAAATAAAGCCACCCATATCTGAGTGTGCTCTCCCCTAAGAACCACAACACAAGTAAGCTTTTCAGTCCCTTATACTGTATTTGAATTTCATAATGCGTAACTCTTTAGTACAAGGCCAAAACCTTCTCATGTACTCTTTAAAACAAATAGCATGAACTCTGAAAGTCTAACTCCTGACAATACCTAAAGCAGACGTATGATGAGAAGGGAAAACGAGGAGGGCAGGGAGAGACAGTATCCTAACAGATAGATATATGTAGTACCAAAGATAAGAAATTTAAATTCAGAATTGTACAACATGTCTAACTCTGGATGTCAACTGTCAGATCCACCTCCATGTTCACAGCCAGGCGTGGACTCTACCCCTGCACCAAAAATTTCCTCTTCCCGAGGAGGGGAACCCCTCAGCACTTTTCCTGGCCCTCTCCTCTCCCATATCACAGTTACTTGTATATTCATTTACTCCCTTTTCTAAACATAAGGTCCTGAGGGCAAGGACTAGCATAAGCATTTCTGAATTCCTTGTTAACACACCTAGCACAAGGTGTTGAAGCAGCAGTAAAAGAAGATTTCTAACGAACTTAGTTAGGGGTGTAGCTGGGCCACAGCCTCGTTTTCTTACTCCCAGCTCTAGGTTCTTCCCACCACAGCAGATATGCTATCTGTTCTAGATTCTGCAAATATTGCCTCCTTCTGCAGGCCAATGTTTCCTTGAATGCTACAAATCAAACCATTTCCTAAGAAAGTCCACCCCTTTTATACATAATCTTTGCCATGACATTGTCAAAACACCTACAATGAGAATAGTCCATGTAATGTATCCATCTGAGTGTCTTGACAACACTGAGATCCACAAAGTAAAAAGGCTTTAGTATATTAAAAAAAAACAAAAAACACTGTTCTTAATACTAACTTCTCCAAATAAGCCAGCTGTAGCATAATGATTTTCACTATGTTCTTTGTTAAGTATCTAAGTAAGCTAGATCCTTTGAAGACTTTTTCCTTAGATACAAATCGAAACTGTCCACATACCCATTATATCAAAGAATTCGTCCAAGGCATTATGCAGTGCTGGGAACTTGTCTCTGTGTTCTTCCAGCAGCCATATTAAACAACGCGCTTCCTTCAGTGACGTAGGCTCATAGAAATAATCGAGTTGTTTTCCTTCTATAGAGCCTAGCTTGTGACCATATTTCTCATTCCAGAGAAAAGTCATGATGCTAAAATCGAGCTCCTTCAGAGGAGCCCCATAACGAGAGAAGAAAGGTCCCGTGGCATCTAAGCCTGCAGTAAAAGCAAAACCCAAGTCAGAAGGAGGGAGGATTTGCTATAAAATCACATCCAGTTTCACATCTTTGAAAGCAGTTCTATTATAGTTTGCTTACATTTTCAGTGAGAACATTTAAATACTTGAGACTACATTTATTCAAGCTATTATGGGGTTCAGAAACACCATTTCACATGAATATGCTAAATACAGTAGTTCTTACCTATTAGTTGAAAAAAGTGGGCCAAAGGCTTCTATTATTCTATTTTTATTAGACTTAGGGGGAAAAAGGGATTTTTTAGCATTTATTCTTATTTATTTGACTGTGCTGAGTCTTAGTTGTGGCATGTGGGATCTAGTTCCCTGACCAGGGATTGAACCTGGGAGCATGGAGTCTTCACCACTGGACCACCAGAAGAGTCCCAGAAAAGGAATTTTTTTAAAGACATTAAATTCCTTTAAAAATATAACAATAACTTTTCACTACTTCATAATGAATTTCATTCCAATTAGTACAAGCTAGCTAGATTTTACAATGCTTTTCTACGTATATTCTATAATAACAAAACATCAGTAATACATGGAACTTCAGAAATGCCTTTAAAACAGAAAATTGGTAAACTCTTCATCCAACACTTTCAAGAACTGCACCTCATCCCCTTGAACACCATGGCCCCTTACCTTCCTCACGAGATTCCAGGTGGTCACTATTCCTGATTTCACTCCCACAACTCCAGAAAAAGGGGTGGCTGCACCCTCGTGTACTACTACTGAGAGGAGGTGAGCCCCTGCTGCATGCTAACACAGCCCCCAGAAGTAAGGGCTGGCTCTGCTCTCTGTCCCCACATCTGTAACACAGGACGGGTCACAGGCTCTCAGTCTGCAAATGAGGCAGAGCCTGTCAAGTCAAAACTACCCTGGACGGCTGATCAGACACAACAGCTTTGCAGAGGTCATGTTACATGAAAAATCAGTGTATTTAAACATGAGAATCAGCGACCATGTAAAATACTCACATGATACAAGGTTTAAGGCAATCACGGATAAAGAAATACCACATTCAAATCTCCATCTACAGCTCACATCGGAGCACGTGCTCGGTGAGAGGAAGGCAGCAGATCACACCTAGTACTGAAATGTTAACCCCGCTACTGCCCAATTTAAATTAATCTCTTTGTTAAATAAAGCAAATTAAAAGAAATATCAAAAACTTTATCATTTCCTTGTCTGACTGTTTAGTAGATACTAATGGCAACATCACTTAGGAAAAATTTTATGGGGCCAGAAACCCATGGAGACATATGTTCACAGCAGCAACATTAGTGATCAGCTACACCAAGTGTACTGCCACCTCACTTTGTCACCACTGACAGAAACTCAGTAGTGTATTCTCTGAAACTAGTGTTTCACAGCTCCCGTCTTTAAGGCAGGTCAGGCGCATCTCTACGGGTCGCTGCTGTGGCTCCCAGTAGCCTTTTACCCAACAGCTGCCGAATGAATTGTCTACTGTGCTAGGCAGTGGCCACATCGGTCACGGGGACAAACAAGGCCATGGTAGGTGTCCAAGGACTCCAGACTCTAGGGTCAGTCGACAGCTTTCTCTGCTGCTGCCTTCCATGGTCCCTGAGTAGGTCTGGTAAAGAGCCTGCTTGAAGGTTCTTCCTCAACCAAACTAGGAAAATCAGGACAGAACACCAGAGTTTTATGATCCTGTGATTCACGATGCTGAAGGCCAGCCCCAGGACATTTCTCTTGATCCTTAGATACAGATCTACCATAGGTGATCCTAACCAATTATCCATAGCTCCATCTACTCTGCCATCCAAATTCTTCACAATCCCAGAGAGCACCCCTGAGCAGCTGACTCCAAGGGGTGCTATTTACCCAGGGGAGTGCCTAGTAGTCACAAAGTTAACACACTGACAATAGTTGAGCAAAACACAGGACCGGACTTTCTTACTGACTGGACTTTCCTGTGTTGACATCTTTCACAAAGCACAAGGTAACCTATCTATAAGGTAGCCTAAAAATTGTGAACTTCGGGAAATAGCATTTTTTAATCATATAAATCTGTAGTTCCACATTTAAAAAAAATCATAAATGATAGTAAAATGCAGAAGGATTCAGAGGTCTGTGTTTATCCTCCTATGAAAATGCATCTCTACAATTAAGAGACGTACCAAAGCTATTAAGTTTCTGGATCCAGGTGGCTAATTTTGGCTCCACTTCTTTAAGCTCACTCAAAACATGCAGAAATACCCGTGTCTTTACTCTGTTCTTTTCTTGGATCAAATGACGAATGACATAGTCCACTGCTTCAGTCAGGAAATTTCTGCTAGAAAAACATGTTGTGTAGTCTTCTGTGGTTAAAACCTTCCAAGAAAGCAATTCTTTGAGAAGCTTGGAAGTATTCAGTATCCCAGACTTAATCTTGTCAGCATATTGCTTTATGCACTGCAGAATTCTGTCATCAAGGAACTGGCAACTTTGGACATGGTTGATAGTTTCTAAGGATGAATAACAGTGGTCAGTAAAAAGGAGAAAGAGGACCAATTTACAAAAACATAAACTCTGAAAAACTTAACCTAATATTGTGTGTGAAAGTGAAGTCAAAGTGTTAGTCACTCAGTTGTGTCTGACTCTTTGAGACCATGGGGACTGTAGCCTTGCCAGGATCCTTTATCCATGGAATTCTCCAGGCAAGAATACTAGACTAGGTAGCCATTCCCTTCTCCAAGGGATATTTCCAACCCAAGGATCGAACCCACATCTCTTGCATTGCTGGCAAATTCTTTACTGTCTGAGCCACTAGGGAAACACATAGCAATATAACCCATGACTCAGATGTATTCTTTATGTTGTTTTAAATAACCTAAGACATTTAAAAATAGATCTATAAAGTAATTAACTTTAAAAGTGCCTTTAAAAGACATGAAAGTTCACAGTAAATCAAACATAACAAGTATCTTATTTCCTTCACTGGCACCACTCATGTAACATCTAAAAACTTAGTTCCTCTAAAATAAGGTTACTTTCCTCAACAATCTTAACTGAGCCTTATCGACTACTCAAATTTCACATTCAATAAATATGTTTCAGGGATGAATGTAAAGCTTCCCCCCCACCCCCCAGAATTGAAGGGATCATTGCTTCAGGTATAAAAACAATATTTGGTTGAATTTGGATAAATATGTGTTATTTATCTTACTGTTGAATCCTAAATCGTAGACCTGTGGAGTTACTGATTGCAGTATCTCAAAAGTGCATCTTCCTACCCAGGCATTCCCCCCAAAAGTGGCCATTTAGCCTCTTGAATCTAATAAATAACATACAAATACAAAAAATATATAAAGTAAATGATGTTCCCTAAAATTTTTTTCAGTAGAAAAGACAGTTCTGATTGATTTCTGAAACATTAATGAAATAGTCAATCCTAAAGGAAATCAACCCTGAATATTCTTTAGAAGGATTGATGCCGAAACTCTAATATTCTGGCCACCTGATGCAAAGAGCCAACTCTTTGGAAAAGACCCTGATGCTGGGAAAGATTGAGGGCAGGAGGAGAAGGGGGTGACAGAGGATGAGACGGTTGGGTGGCATCACTGACTCATGGACATGAGTCTGAGCAAACTCTGGTGGTGGTCGTGGAGTCGCTCAGTCATGTCCGACTCTTTGTGACCCCAAGGACTGTAGCCCACTAGGCTCCTCCGTCCATGGGGTTTTCCAGCCAAGAGTACTGGAGTGGGCTGCCATTTCCTTCTCCAGGGGATCTTCCCAACCCAGGGATCGAACCTGGGTCTCCCACATTGTAGACAGACGCTTTACTGTCTGAGCCACCAAACTCTGGGAGACAGTAAAGGACAAGGAAGCCTGGTGTGCTGCAGTCCATGGAGTTGCAAAAAGTCAGACATGACTTAGTGACTAAACAACAAGATGAAAAACAAAGACAGCAAGAGGAAATATTAATGCTGGCAACAGTCATCAGAAAATGAGAATAATTTACCTCAAAACTGAAAGTAGTCCTGGGGATACAGTGCACAGTACAATGACTGCAGTTAATACTGTTTTGAGTAGTTGCATGTAGACCTTGAAAGTTCTCATCATGAAAAAAAAATTCTGTATGTATGGTGGTGGATGTTAACTGGATTTATTGTGGTAATATTTTGCAATATATAGAAATATCAAATCATTATGTTGTACACCTGAAACCATACATTAAAAAAAAAAAAAAAACCACCAAACTTGAAAGTAAATGTGTCCACAGGGACAGTAAATCACTGAGACAGCTCCCATGTTGATCAGGGAATGCTGACGAGATGAGCATAAAACACAAGGTAATCTCTCTGGCATCTTATATGAACTGCTTCTTTATATGAAGCAGCATATGTCAGATAATCAGTGGCTAATTTACAGTTCAAACATATGTGTGGAATTTCAAGTATTATTTTCACATTCACTTTAGAGATAAGGGAACTGAGACAATTTGCCCTAAGTGGCAGGAAAGTATTTTCAATTCCTGTATCTTACTTCTAAATTTAATGTTTCTTATACCACTCCCCTCCCCATCTCAGTGTAATCAAAAGATGGCGATAGCATTAAAATACCAAGGGAAATCTAAATTTCAATTCAAAGAGAGTTGGACTATAAAGAAAGTTGAGTGCCGAAGAATGGATGCTTTAGAACTGTGGTGTTGGAGAAGACTCTTGAGAGTCCCTTGGACTGCAAGGAGATCCAACCAGTCCATCCAAAAGGAAATCAGTCCTGAGTGTTCACTGGAAGGACTAACGCTGAAGCTGAAACCCCAATACTTTGGCCACCTCATGAGAGCTGACTCATTTGAAAAGACCCTGACGCTGGGAAAAATTGAGGGCAGGAGGTGAAGGGGACGACAGAGGATGAGATGACTGGGTGGCATCACCAACTCGATGGACATGGGTTTGGGTGGACTACGGGAGTTGATGATGGACAGGAAGGCCTGGTGTGCTGCGGTTCATGGGGTCACAGAGTCGGACATGACTGAGCAACTGAACTGAACTGAATTGAACTGATAAAGCCCAACAAGATGAATATTTGCATTCACACTTTTAAGCAAGAATATATGATGCTCATCACGCCTCAGACTCCCAGCATACCTCTCTGCTCTTCAGTTTTTGGTGGGTTACTTTCCCTTAAGTCCTCTTTCAGTCTTTCTTGTGCTAATTTTTTTGCTTCTGTTTTTTGGAGCTTTCGCTTCAATTTTTTGTCTTCTTTCAGCCTCAACTTCTCTAGGCTAATAAATAATTACAGTTAGTGACAATTCACTTTTGTTATGAACTCAGTCAACTACCTTCCTTTGGCTACTGTAGAAGCCATTCTCCAAACAATAAGCTAGAAGTTTTCTTTTTTAGTTAGAACTTGGGACTATATCCTCTGTTCAATAACAAAAACTTCAGACATGTGGTCAATTCAGTCGAAACAACTGTACTTGTTGCATAAAAACAAGAACATCAATGACTAAGTGATTTCTAATTAAGGATGGCATATATAGATCATACAGATGTTATCCCCATGTATAGAAGATACTGTTAGGGTAAAGAGGAATAGTAAAAAATTACTATGCAAGATAATACATGTAAATACTAATTTCCACAGTAAAATATCATTTTCACAACCCAATAATGATCTATAACACTCAAATTTGGTCAATATGGCTACAATAAATTCTCTTCAACAAATAATTCATCTTTTCTTTTGCTTTTTCTTGGCCACCAATGATTAAAAAAAGTAACTTCTAAAAATGGAAAACAAGAAGCAGGGCAAAAAAGAAAAGAAAAAAGGACTGATTTATTTGACTTGAACAAAAGATAACAGAAAAGTGACTAATTTTGACAGTCTGTTGAGTATTTCAGGGTGAGAAAGAGTCAGTGGTTCAAAATGTTTGCTGAAGAGAACAAAAGGAAAGATGCTTTTGGAATTAAAGTGCAAACTGAGAACTAAGTATGTAATTTTTATCCAAATGCCAAATCTACTGCATAGGTCATTTCATAGCTCAAATGTTATAATTTTACTTATAAATTTAATCACTAAATAATGCTTCTTATTCAAGTTTTTAGCATTTAACTATTCGAGGTTAAAGTGAAAGTGAAAATGAAGTCGCTCATTGCGACCCCATGGACTGTAGCCCACCAGGCTCCTCCATCCATGGGATTCTCCAGGCAAGAATGCTGGAGTGGGTTGCCATTTCCTTCTCCCGGGGATCTTCGCGACCCAGGGATCGAACCCGGGTCTCCCGAGGTGTAGGCAGACACTTAACCATCTGGAAGCCACCAGGGAAGTTAAGCTGTTTTGAAAGTTATAAATACCTATAACATTCACTTAAAAGCTACTTATTTGAATATGTGTGCTGAGCCAATTTTTAAAACAGCATTATTTAGAAATGTGCATTTAAGAGAATTGTATTGGACATTATTAACCTACTAATTTTTAAAAAATCTTACCTAGAACATTTCTGTTTCAGAATAGGTCTTGGAGGAACCTTTTCTTTAATCACCTTGTGTTCAAACTTTAAATAAAACAGAGACATCTAAAATTTGTCTCATGCTCCCATGACATTAAGCATAAAATCACAGGTTTAACAAGCATTTCAAAAACATAGTCAACATTCAGTTTCATAGAGAACAGTGATGATACTCTGACCCAAACAAAAGCCCAGAATACTTTAGCAACAAAATTTACTGAAAAAAAAGGAACAAAAGAGTAGTCACAGTTATAGAAGGTTAAAAAAAAAAATTAAGAGTAAGCAGAATATCAAATAAACGACAGATGTCATTACAACAACCCACTCCTGCAGCTCCCACATAGTGAGGCTCAAGACACTCTCCTCCCTCCCTAATATCCCCCACCTTGCCAACACCAAAAGGTTTATTGGGAATTTAAAAAACAAGGTTATCAGAAGGAGTAAAATCAGTAAAACTAATATGTTAAAATTCTCCTTTTCCTTTTGAGAGACAAAAGAACACGAGAATCCTTAATTCCAAAGATGCATTCTTTAAAAAAAAAAAAAAAAAAGGCATTCTTACATTAAGTAACTACTTCCTTCCTGGAAAATGCAAGATCCAAATAGTGTAAGTTCTATAAATTTACATCATATTTCATAAGATATAAGCATTTTGGTTATCAATTTAATGAGATTTCCCCAGTGTCTACTTACTTCACATTTAACTTGACCACCACTGCTGAAGATGATAATCTTTGAAATGATTCCTTCACAGTCAGGAGTAAGACAAATTCCTTGCAGAAAATCCTATTTGATTTAAAAACAGGGTGGGGGGAGGTTACATCTTGGCATAAATGTACACATGTATGCCATTTTAACCACAGAACAGTCAAAATATAAACTAAAACCTTCTTCAGGAGGTACTGCAAAGTCCCTGTTCACTGCCACCTGATTTCCAAAGCCTCCAGTTGCAGGGCTGTCCACGCGACTCACTTGGTCACGTGAGGTGAGCTGCCCTGACGTGTGGTACCATCCACACCAAAGCTTTAAGAAACACTGAGTGGACTGGCCACTACTCCTTCCTTTAAATCACAGTAACATGTCCCAGTCACTCCTCAACCTCAATTCAGAAACAAAGCCCACAGCCCCACATACCGGAGCTGCCACTGTCCAATCCTGGACAACTGTAAAACTGCAAGACAAGTAATATTAGCAAGAAACAAGCCTTTCTTACTTCAAGTCATGAGACATTCGAGTTACTTCAAGGTACCCCAGTGAAAGCCAATCTACAAAGGGTACTTCAACCCATGGGAATGGTTAGGACCACTAAGGGCATGGGTATAGCTGGTAGTGGTAGTCGCTCAGTCGTGTCCAACTCTTTGCGATTCCATGGACTGTAGTCCACCTGGTTCCTCTGCCCATGGGATTCTCCAGGCAAGAATACTGGAGTGGGTTGCCATGCCCTTTTCCAGAGGACCTTCCCGACCCAGGAATCGAACCCGGGTATCCTGCATTGCAGGCGGATTCTTTACTGTCTGAGCTACAGTGCCACCGCCCGAGGGTATGGCTAGAGAAGTTCAATTAAAGTGAGACAAAGACATAGCAAGAGCAGCTCAACGGCAACAGTTATTTGGTCACATCATCATACCTCTAGATAACAACATGAAAATGTGTAAAATGTGAGAACTCATTTTTACTTAACCTGAGTAATTACTATTGCTAACATTCACCTAGCACAACCACCTTATTCTTTTCTCCTCAATAAGGACAGGGGTTTATATGAGGCTAAGTAGTGTAGAATAAGGTTTTTTTTTTTTTTTAAGTCCATAGTTTATATGGATCAGAAACAAAGTCTATGAATGAAGATTACTAAACTGTTACTGCTGGAGAAGGAAATGGCAACCCACTCCAGTATTCCTGCCTGGAAAAGTCCATGGACAGAGGAGCCCAGCGGGCTGCAGTCCATGGGGTTACATGAGCATGTGTGCACGAGGGTGGAGGGAGATGGGTTGGTAGCAATAAAGTGGTAGAACTAAAAAAAAAACTGTGACTGCTCTCAAAGTATATCTGGCTAATGGTAATTAACATAATTATCTTGCTAATGAAGAGAAACCCCAAATATGGCAGTACAAAATTTAAGTTGATTTCTTAGTACAAATTATCTCAAACTTTTTTAGAAAATAAAAAACTTGAGGCCCCAATTCTACATCATCACATTAAATCATTTATTTTTGATCATACATTACCAACATAATAGGAGGGGTTCAACAATTTATTAAAATCCTCTATGGTTACTGCCTTTACACTTTATAAATGAAAAAACTTTCTACTTTATCATTAAAACTTTAATACCTTCTAATTACATCTCACACAAAGAGAGAAATTCATATTCAGTTAAGACTTTTCTTGAAGATTCTCGGGGAAGAAAAATCAGTATACAATAAGCATACTAAAAAATCCAGAAAATCTTGTTAGTCTTACTTACCTTGTCAATTTTATCATTGAAGGTTGTTGTTTTTAACTTCTTCCAGCAGTTCATGTGAAATTCTATTTTACAATACTGGCAACAGCTGATTCGTATAAAACCCTGGGGTTTTAAAACAATTTTTAATTCATATCTTAAAAAAGTCTACATACACTCACTCTCTGTTTCACACCCACAACACATAATAAGATAGAGACCTGTTTGCATTCACCTGGCAGACATGACTAGATGTCATATTTCCTCCTAGGGGAGTATAGTACTTCACACCGCAGATTGCCTAGCGCTGAGAACACTGAGCTTGACTGACATTCGATTTCCACGATTTACAGTTGTGTGTTCCTTTGAAAGTGAAAGTGTTAAGTCACTCAGCTGTGCCCGACTCTGTGATCCCATGGACTGCAGCCCACCAGGCTCCTCTGTCCATGGGGATGTTCCAGGAGAGGATACTGGAGTGGTGTACAAAATATCAAATACTTTATAAACTTTATTTCATCTGAATTACTAACCAGGCACAGTGGGCACCTTCTATCTTCTTGAATAAACTAAGGTGCAGCATTCTATTCACTCAATTAACTGCCAGACTCGGTCTCACATTTAGGTCTCCAGGAGTTATTCAGTGACCAGAATGATTCTTAGATTTCAATTCTTCAGATTCTGGGACTCAGATTATGTAAGAAATTAGAACTGCAGCAAATCAGGGTAATTACCTCACTTTCTTTCCTGTGCTCCTAAGGAGCAGGCAATTATATGAAACGGTGGCTAGAAGGGGGAAATGGAATTAGCTAGCCTGCCTTCTCAGGTCACCATCAATGCCCTCAGTGTTTATTTCAATGACTCTGCGTCCCCATGTGAGATGATGCAGACTTAAGTCAGGGGATGGGGCAGACAAGAGGATGTGAAGCTGCTGACAAGTCAGAGAACTTGGGTGTCTCCAACTAAAGAATTTGTTCTGAAACCATTTTCAGGCCCAATTCAGCAAGTTAATGTCCTGGTACACCCTCATTCTGTACCTTAAAGTCTGGATCAGTTATGTATATCTGGATTTTGGAATATCCATGGCACTTCTGATAGCAACAAATGGCATCTGGCACTGGAGGGAACCTGCATTCTTCAACGAATTTCTCTAACAGCATCTACAACAAAAGAACACAAAAATGATATGACAACACTAATTCATCAATCAAATTCTTTCAATAATCTCTTGCCATCAAAATATTTTCAGCACAGGAAGGACGAAATGCCTTTTAGCCAAGAACTACACACAAATTATAAAGGTTTTCGTCCTGGAGAGAGGCTGATACAGAGACATGCTGAGAAAAGAATGGAAGAAAAGGACTGAACAAAAAATCTTCAGAATTTCAGACTGAATCAAAATCTTATCCTTTGTTGTAATCCTCAAACCTCATTTTACAATACACACCTCTGAGAAACCGCCTTTAAGCATTCATAGGTGCCTAATCTTAGGACTCCACTGTTTCACCCAAGGTCACGTAGCCTGCGACCTGCCTCCTGACATTCACCCTCCTCCCCGCATCCCTGCACCTGTGCGTGCCCCTCCCCTGAAGAATTACACCACTGCCACCGAAGCCCCCAAGACTCATGCCAGGCTTCCCAGGATGGTTCACTGTTATCAATAGTTCCAGTGCCTCCATCCCAGTCCAGAATAAAGAGAGGAAAATCCAACAGTCCCCGTTTTATTTCTTATAACAGTTTTGTTCATATATAATTCATGTACCATACAATTCATGTACTTAAAGTGTATAGCTCAGTGGCTTGTTAAGAGTCGTGTAACTATCACCATAGCCTAAATTTAAAACATTTTCACCACCCAACAAGAAATCCCATATCCATGAGCAATCCCTCATCTTTCCTCAGTCCCCTATCCCCTGACAACCACTAATCTACTATCTGCCTTTATATATATATTTTCCTATTGTGAGCACTTCATTGGAGGTCCAGTGGTTAACACTCTGTGTGCTTCCATTGCGGGGGGCACAGGTTCTATCCCTGGTTGGGCAACTAAGATCCCACATGCTATGTGGTGCAGCCCCCAAAGAACGAAGTTCTATTCTGGAGATTCCAGATAAACATAATCACACAATATCTGGCATTTCATACCCAGCTTCTTTCACTCAGCATAACGTTTTCAAGGTTCATCTATGTTGCAGCATGTGTCATTACTTTACTCCTTTTTATGGCCAAATGTGTTATATGGATACACCACATTTTATTTAACCATTCATCAGCTAATAGCCTTTGAGTTCTTTCCACTTTTTGACTATTCTGAATAATGCTACTATGAACATTCATGTATAAGTTTTCAGGAAAACTTACATGTTCCTGTCTCTGAGTATATTTAGGAGTGAAACTGCTCAGTCATTTGGTAACTCTATCTTTAACCAATGAAGAACTGCCAGACTGTTGTCCAAAGCATCTCCACCATTTTAAATTTTATAGCAATGTATAGGGGTTCTGATTTCTCCATATGCTTGCCAACACTTGTACTGTCTTTTTGATTATAGCCACCCTAATGGGAGTGAAGTGGTACCCTGTTTTCATTTGCATTTCTCTGATGGCTAACTGTTGAAAACACTTTGCACATTTATCATCTATTTATACAAGCTGTTGGCAGATACTCCTATGCAGATCTTTCAGCTACTTTTAATTAGAGTGTCTTCTTACTACTAAGTTGTAAGAGTTGACTCCTAGGCTTATAAAAGCTCTAGTTAAAACCAAGTTCTGAGTATACACCCGGGCTCACCACAAGTAAAGGCCTATCCCAGTAAAGTTACATGATTTAGTCTTTCTAGAACTGGCAAAGCACCCCATGATTCTGGATATGAGACCAATTTATACCTTTTAAGTCTTCAAATACAATGTCAATAACTACAGAAATTATAATGAAACAATAACGTGAAATCTTTCTCTAAGTACAACCAGCATATCACACTGCTTAATAATGCACACTCTAGCCAGAATGCCTGGATTCAAGTCCCAGTTCCACCATTTCCGGGCTGTTTAATCCTGAACTCATCACTTAATCTGTCTAAACACAATCTTCCTCATCTATCAAAAGGGAATAATCACAGTGCTCATCACATATGGTTGCTGGAAGGGGTAAAGGTAATGATAAATGGAAGGTGTGTGATTGGCAAATAGGAAATACTCAATAAATGTTGGTGATTCCACCAGTTTTTAAACGGGACATGGAGGAGCTGAGGACAAAGTGCTACCACCTCTCTGTCATCTCATACCTGAGTCAAGAGCACAGGAGTGCAGATGAGCTTTTATGGTTAATAAGAAGCTCTACAGAAATAATTACCTTTATCTTCCCTGGCTGAGTCTCCTCAATAACCACATTACTTGTGGGCCAAGTTAACACTCCAGGAAGACGACAGATCAAGGTTCTTGCTTTCTCGAAATGATTAAGAGCTTCTAAAAATCTAAAGTCAGAATTACAGAGAAGGTATTAAAGATGAGACATGAATTTCCACTCCCCAAAAGGCACAGAGAATTCAAGCTTACCAGGAATAGTACATTTGACAAATCACAGAACAGAAATATTCACATTAACCCATATCTTCTTCAAAACACCAAGACATTACCACCCTTTGCTTCAAAAGTAATATAAATTAAACAGGAATCTACCAGGACACTGGCTTTACTATATGGCAGGTGCACACTAGTTCGTTAAAAGCTGTAATTCATTTTTTAAAGTTTTCCACAATTAAAACAGAAAACTGAATAAATTTGGTTGTTCCATTTTTATTTAATTTACTAATCTAATTAAAGCAGATCCTTGTAGTGCAACACCACAGGTCCACTTCAACTAATTAATCATAAACGGGGCATTTTTTTTTACCTTATTCATTTAAAACAGCTATAACAAAACCCCTCTGCTGTAAAACTGTTAAAGAGCTCATGCATTCTGGACATCCTTCTTCAGCTATAAAGCAGTTAATTATTTTAACAAATATGTATGCAAACTGTTTTACTATAAATATGGTATGTTTTAGTGCCAATTTACAGTTTAGAAAAATAATACCAATAGATTCCCAAAGTTCATTCAACCAAAGAATACTAGAATAATGAATTATAAGGTTTTCCCAGTCTTTATTCCTCCTGTCAGACTAGAGACACAAAAGGTTTCCTGTTCTTCAATTTTGAAACCATCTCCCAATTGAAGAAGTCATTTTTACCTTTGCATAGGTAACCTCACCTGCATAAAAGCTAGACCATCCACCATACGACAGTTATAAAGACTTTAAACCAGACTTTAAACCAGAGACTACACATTACAACAGCAAAAAACCAGCTAGCTTATTGGTCACTAGATGCCAAACTGTATTATTCTGAAATTAAAATTTAAAAGCCTTTCACAACAATGTAAATCAACTATACTTCAATAAAATTTTTTAAAAATTTAAATGACTTTCAAAATGGTAAACACTTCTTCACTTACCACAACCTCCATGATGTTACACATTTATGTTATTTTCCTAGAGCCAGTGAATATCTACATGTGGTCACTGCATTAAACAGGTGTGTCTTAAACAACTTACACTAAACTTTCAAATTAATTGCATTTGTCATTACCATGAAAATGACTGCAAAATCCTCACCACCTCTGATTCTTAACAGAGTTGAGCTGGTCAGACAGTAGCTTTAGAAAGTAAAAGAAATTTCTTTAATCTTTAAAGACCTTTAAAGAAGGTTCTAGACAACCTCTAAGGTTGAGTTCTCAAGGGTCCTATTGGTCTGATAACATTTCCTCTAAACAGTTAAGATGAAAATTTAAGGATAATTGAAAGTTATGAATAATAATCAGTAAGTTAATTATTTCTTATTAAAAGTAACCTAACATAGTGGGTGTAAGTGGCAGGAACAGGGAGTTGTTTTTATTTTTTTTTAAAAGCTCAAGTCATAATCCTGCCCCAATGCTCATACAGCCATTTGGGGAGGTAAGACATGAAACAGGGAACAGATATGTATTAAAAGTTTGAGTAAGGACTTCAAGTACAAGTTCAGAAAAGAGTTTGTTTGCTTTTTTCCTTCTAACTCATGATGTCTTTCAACAAATATATACTTCATATTAAAACCATCCTCATACAAGTTTTGAGGGGAGAATAGGTGACTGCAGCAAGCCAGGCTTCCTGGTTCTTCACTGTCTCCTGGAGTTTGCTCAAATGCATGTTCATTGAGTAAGTGATGCCATCCAACCACCTTATCCTGTTGCCTGGTTCTCCTCCTGCCCTCAATCTTTCCCAGTATCAGGGTCTTTTGCATTTAGTCCTCTTCACATCAGGGGGCCAAAGTACTGGAACTTCAGTTTCAGTATCAGTCCTTCCAATGAATATTCAGGGTTGATTTTCCTTTAGGATTGACTGGTTTGATCTCCCTTGTCCAAGGGACTCTCAAGAATCTTCTCCAGCACAATTCAAAAGCATCAATTCTTTGGCACTCAGCCTTCTTTATAGTCCAACTCTTGGATCCATACATGACTACTGGAAAAATCATAGCTTTGACTATATGGACCTTTGTCAGCAAAGTGTCTTTGCTTTTTAATACACTGTCTAGGCTGTCATAGGTCTCCTTTCAAGGTGCAAGCATCTTTTAATTTCATGGTTGCAGTCACCATCCGCAGTGATTTTAGAGCCTAAGAAAATAAATCTGTCATTGCTTCCACTTTTCCCCTTCTATTTGCCATGAAGTGATGGTACTGGATGCCATGACCTTAGTTTTTTTTTGAAAGGTGAGCTTTAAGCCAGCTTTCTCACTCTCCTCTTTCACCCTCATTAAGAGGCTCTTTAGTTCGTCTTCATTTTCTGCCATTAAGAGTGGTATCATCTGCCTACCCGAGACTGTTGATATTTCTCCTAGCAATCTTGATTCCAGCTTGTGATTTATCCAGACTGGCATTTCGCATGATGTATTCTGCATGTAGATTGAAGGCAGGAGGAGAAGGGGATGACAGAGGATGAGATGGTTGGATGGCATCACCAACTTGATGGACATGAGTTTGAGCAAGCTCCAGTAGTTGGTGATGGACAGGGAGGCCTGGCGTGCTGCAGTCCATGGGGTCGCAAAGAGTCGGACACGACTGAGCAACTGAACTGAACTCACTCTGCATGTAAGTTATATAAACAATACACAGCCTTGTCATACTCCTTTCCCAATTTTGAACCAGTCAGCTGTTCCATTTAAGATTCTAACTGTTTCTTATTGACCTGCATACATGTTTCTCAGGAGACAGGTAAGGTGATGTGGTATTTCCATCTCTTTAAATAATTTCCCATAGTTTGTTGTGATCTACACAGTCAAAGATTTTCATGTAATCAGTGAAGGAGGAGAAGAATACTGGAGCGGTTTGCCACTGCCTCCTCCAGTGGACCACATCTTGTCAGAACTCTTCACTGTGACCCGTCCTTGGGTGGCCCCACACGGCAAGGCTCGTAGCTTCACTGAGTAAACAAGTCCCTTCGCTACAAGGCTGTGACCCATGAAGGGGTAATGTAAACCATTCATCTGTATCAATTCAGTCACAATTTATAGATGACATATACTAAACTATAAAACTTATTGTACCACATTATTAATGAGTTTATTAGATTCAAAATTAGAAAGCATTGGTAACTGAATTGTTGACTTTAATAATTAATATTGAAATACCAGTCCTCAAAGTAAACACAATTATCACAGTATGCAGGAGAAGATGTCAAAATCACTCTAGAACAGGGATCATCACATGAGACTTCAAATGAGTTACCAGCCTAGAGCATAATGTAGTGTGGTTTCCACTAACCTGTTTTTTTTCAAATACACTTTTCCAATTCCACAGTAGGCCAAGCAATCAAGTCCTTCATTGGGGTAGTGTTCAATCATCCTCTTAAACTGGTTTTCAGCTTCAGATAACTCCTTTGGCAGCAATGAGAATAGTGATCACTTACACAGAAAGAAAGGCTAGGAACAGATTTTACCTGAAGGTTGATTCTTTTTGTGTAATATTAAAAACAACTGTATACCCCAAAATTTCTATGGCAAAATTACACCTTCTGGATTTCATTTTCTTAGCAATTACATAAAATATGACCATATGGATATTCAGACACAGAACCAAAATGATCCAGCTCTGGAATGAGAGTTGGCACTGAACACAGGCAACGCACCAAATGAGCATTTACTAACACACACACAGGGCCCAGTGTGTGCTGGCCAAAAAAGGCATAAGCTCATGGCAAAAAGACTGATTTGGATGCAAATGCACTATAACATATATCCTAGTAAGCACTGCTCCCTTGGGGTCACAGGAATTCCAATAATGTTGCCACAATGTTTTGTGACATAAGACAAATGCTGTGTCTTAAAAACAGCTATTCAGTAAAAAATTTAGAACTTAAAATACATTCTTTTGACTATTCTCAACAGTGGAAGCCTCTGGGCTTTGAATGAATTTTGTTTTGGAAAAAATCCAAATGATATTCAGCTCAAAGTAATACTGGTCATCACTCCATTGTGGGTGAAAAAGGAAATGTCACTACAGAATGGAGTTAATAAGCTCTGAGGCCAGCTCTGTAGGAGGCATTCCAAAGCAAGGACTTTTCTGGAGTAAATACATCAATTTCTTCTGGAGATACTCTGATGAAATTCTTTTAAATGTCTATCATTCTTTTACATTCTATCATTCTGTTTTTTTTTAATCAGAATTAAATCAAAGTAAATTAAAAATGTAACAAACGATTTCTTCAATTCTGATGAAGCAAAATACGATATTTATTATTACTCTGTTGAGAACATGTCGCCCTGTCTTCAAAAATCTACCAGAAAACAGAGTCAGTGAGTCCCTAATGGAAGACATGCATCTGCTGCATCAGAACAAGGAAAGCAGCCTGTCATAGGGAAAACGACCCTCAGGCTCTGTGGACCACTCATAAAGTGAACCTCTTTAGGTAGCTGTTAGGGTTAAGCCTAGGAAGCTTGGAGCCTAAGTTGGTAGACAGGGTAATTTCTACCTGAGGTTAATTCTAGAACCATTTCTAATTTTTTAAAAAAATCCAACGCCATTGAAAGCAGAGTATAATGCTGGGCAGTGCAGGTAAGTAAGCTTTCGGGGAGCGTGCTGAAGGACAGTGAGTAACGGACACCAGACGTGCTCACACCCACACCCTGACTGCAAGTGGTTATGGGAAGCCTGAACTCTAGGAAATGACAAAATACTCAGGTACTTACTATCCAGAACCAAGAGCTATTAACATTAGCATTTTTATTATGTTTTTCAAAATAAAACAGTATAACACAAAGCTCTTTTTTAACCTCTTGAGTCCCATTCCTTTCTTCCATTACCTTAAACCTGATATATAAGGTTAGTTCATGTTTCTTTCTTTTACAAGATGCAGATAACCATAAACAATATATACTTCTGCTCTGTGAATATTCCGAATTGTACATAAGTGGTATTACATTGTTTACTACATTTCCAACTTGCCTTTTTCCCTTGATGTATTTCCAAAATTTATCATGATACATCAGGTTCTTTACTTTTTGTATGAATAAAAAGTAGATTTTCATTGGTGGCCTGGCATAACTTTTTTCTAATGGAAATACAAACTACATTTTCTTAAAAAAAAAAAAACCACAAACTAAATTAAATTTAGGCATTTCAGAAAAAATTATCACTGCTTCTCAGCCTTTTGGCCAAGATCAAGTGTAGAAAAAACTATCAAGAAAGTACACAGACAGCGATAGCGCTCACTAAACTTACTGTGCTAATCATTTCATGATTTGCATCAGTCAGATCATTATGCTGTACACCTTAAAATTATACAGAACTATATGTCAATTATATCTCAGTAAAACTGGAAGAGAAAAAAAGTACTCAGAAGGAAATAAGCCCAGATGGGAAAACTATTTTAACACATCTTCTAAAGTTAATGGCGTATTTTTTCTAATGAGATGGATAAAACTGGAGCCCATTATACAGAGTGAAGTAAGCCAGAAAGATAAACACCAATACAGTATACTAACGTATAAATATGGAATTTAAAAAGATGGTAACAATAACCCTATATGCGAAATAGAAAAAGAGACACAGATGTATAGAACAAACCTTTGGGCTCTGTGGGAGAAGGCGAGGGTGGGATGTTGTGAGAGAATAGCATTGAAACAAGTATACTATCAAGTGTGAAACAGATCACCAGCCCAGGTTGGATGCATGAGACAAGTGCTCAGGGCTGGTGCACCAGGAAGACCCAGAGGGATGGGATGGGGAGGGAGGCGGGAGGGGGGATCGGGATGGGGAACACATGTAAATCCATGGCTGATCCATGTCAATGTATGGCAAAAACCACTACAATATTGTAAAGCAATTAGCCTCCAAAAATAAATGAAAAAAAATGTCAAAGGAAAAAAAAAAAGTTAATGACATATTTTAACAGTCTATTATCACTGTTACAAATCTTACCTCGGGCTGTCCTATTCCAAGGAGTGAAATGGCAAGTCCATAGACTACTAACACGTAGTTTATCATGGCCAGGTTCAATTGCTGTCAATAAAAATCCTCTCGTTAAATATCTGAACACAATTCTGCCCAACTGACACTGTATTGATATGATAACCACAACAGTAAAAGAAGTGTAAACAATCTAATTGCTATTGGGTCAAGGCCAAACAATTGGAAAACATATTTTGCAAAGATATGCAATTATATTGCTATGAAGTATTCACAGAATCACTATATCAGAATTACTTGAAGGCATGGCTCATAATAGAAAAATTGATATCATATTCTTCTGCATAAAAATGGGAATAGTAATAGACTACATTCTTGGGTTAGCCATAAAGTCCATTCGGGTTTTGCCATACCATCTTATGAAAAACTCAAACTTTTATGGCCAACTCAATATTCGCTCTCTCACAATCCTGCATAAACTTTTTGCCTAGCCAATGCTTTCTTTGCAGATAAAAAGACGTGACTAAAGTGAGTCCAAATCCTTGATTGTGCACTCTAATAAAGAGGAAAGGCCAAGAGCCCTAACGAGCACCAACTGGAGCGCAATGAGAGTCTGAACCGGGGCTGTAGAGCTAGGGCAGCCGCATAAGCCGAATCAGAGGCTGTCTGCTCCTCACAGCCTGGAGGAGGCTCGGCCGAAGATACACTGAAACAATGAACCACAGTTTGGTTCTCTTCTACATTCCTCTGAAATGCGTAAGCACTGATAAGCAAATCACCAGGAGGTGATTTTACCTTTATTTTTTGAGGATCTAAACCGTTGAGCAACTCTGTGAAGGCCTGGGCGGCACTGCGGCACCGCTGCTCCAGCAAGGCCGTGTAGCCATCCTGGATTAAGCTTCTCAGCATTTTCATTATATTAGCAAAATCCTGCAAAAAGAAATTCTACTCCAGTAGTCTAGAGCTATGCATGTTAACTCTAAAACGTAAGATGCCAAAGTTCATCAAGCAGTTACACTTTATAACTGATCATAAAATATACAAAGCTAACCTTTCTGCATTATAGTCCTTTTTCAGCATAGCACCATTAAAGTAGAAATTAAAACGTACAGCTTTACATCTTAATTCTAACATTTCCAGTGCTGCCCATGACAGGAAAGGGTGGTTCACTTTATAATACTAACCTGTGTTCTCTTTACCAGACTAGACAGTGTTTGGAAGTTTTAATAGCATAAATGGAGAACATTAGCCATCATTTAAGTAAGTATATTATTTGGCTGAGACTTGAATAATTAGACAAGTAAGAACAAGCAAGCAATTTATGGGTCACTATCAGATTTTAACAACTGCCCTCATGCCCTGGAAAAAACCCTAATCCGCAGCAAGAAATGGCTACTTCAATCAGTAGCTCTATTTCTGCCTAACATGTACTTGAAAATAATTAGAATTATTGGGAGAGATATTATAACACTAGGCTAAATGCAAAGGGAAGAGCATAAAGACAAAATGGCTATAATGCATCCTGAAATAAAGTGAGAAAAACTTTATAATCTGAATATACATGAGCATATACATTATAATTTGAATTCAGACTTTAGTTACACAGCAACAGCTATAGGCCAGAAAAGTTGTATGAAGACTAGAGAAATAAGACTACAGGCTAAACTTACATCTCCTCACGCCTTGACATACATGTGTACACTATTCACTGGAGCAGAAAACGCAAATATGTGCATGACACTCCTCACTGTTTCTAACAATAAGGATTCAAAAGGAGACCCCACTGCACAAAGCACAGAGGGAAAAACAGTCTGGTCACATAAACAAAGCTGCCTATTGCTTTCTGTCCAATGAATCCAAGTTGAAAAGAACTTTATCCCATAATACACACAGAAAAGAGCAGGTCTCACATAAACTTGGTATCTGTTATACAGTATTTAAATAGCTCAACAACAGCTATATTTACGTTAAGAATTTTAACACTCACAGAAGATGATGTGCTATCTGCACACATACTGGTTTATTAGCCTTGAATGAACTAATTCCACTCTAATCTTTCATTCTAGAAAGCAGATCCATTTGCCTTATGTTTCCATTAGTAATTAATCCTCTCAATACAGTGCAAGTTAGTGGTCTGTACTGAAAGCTCCATGAGTGGGCTGAATGGCACTGCCAGTCCTCAGCATATACAGGGGCCTAAGTAAAAGTGTGTTAAACAAATGAAGGATCAAAAATAACTATCATTTTTATTTAAGCAACCTTTTGTCTTTACAAACTGTCTTTAATATTTAAGTCCCTCAGTCTTTAGGATCAGTAAAATCAAAATAAAGTGACAATTTAATAACTGTTAGAAATTCTAAAAATGCTTTCATGCAACTAATTAGAAAGCTGTTGAAACTAACCTAGGAAACATTAAAAATGCTTGAAACTTGCTTCATCCCAACAGACCTTAAAAAGAAATGTCATATATACCTAAAATAGATAAAAGAATTTTAAAATGACCCATATATTGAAATGAGTATTGTGTTCCATGTTAATATTCATTTGGGGGGGGGGATTTAAATCCAGTATTTTATTTTAGAAGACATAGACCTGTATTTACATAGAGCACTGAATTGTCAAAGCAGACTTGTATGAATCACATTTAACCAAAGGAAACAACTTTTCACCGAAAATAGTCTACAGGTATTCAATGACTAGAATAGTGAGTAGTCATGGTTGGTCCTGGAAATTCTGGATTCTGTTGCTCAGTCGTGTCTGACTCTTTGTGACCCCATGGACTACAGCACACCAGGCTTTCCTGTCCTTCACCATTTCCTGGGGTTTGCTTATACTCATGTCCATCGAGTCAGTGATGTCATCCAACCATCTCATCCTTTGTTGTCCCCTTCTCCTCCTACCTTCAATCCTTCCCAGCATCAGGGTCTTCTCCAATGAGTCAGCTCTCACATCAGATGGCCAAAGTACTGGAGCTTCAGCTTCAGTATCAATCCTCCCAATGAAGATTTAGGGTTGATTTCCTTTAGGATGGACTGGTTTGATTTTCTTGCAGTCCAAGGGACTCTCAAGAGTTTTCTCCAACACCACAGTTCAAAAGCATCAATTCTTCGGAGCCCAGCCTTTTTTATGGTCCAACTTTCACATCCATACATCACTACTGGAAAAACTACAGCTTTGACCAGACGGACCTTTGTCAGCAAAGTAATGTTTCAGCTTTCTAACACGCTATCCAGGTTTGTCACAGCTTTTCTTCCAAAAGGAAGCAGGTGTCTTTTAAATTTCATGGCTGCACTTACTGTCTGCAGTGATTCTGGAGCCCAGGAAAATCAAGGTTGGTCCCTGTTCCCATTGTTTCCCTGTCTATTTGCCATGAAGTGACGGGACCAGCAGTGACGGGCCAGGGCTTCCCTAGTGCCTCAGGCAGGAAAGTGTCTGCCGGCAATGAAGGAGACCCAGCTCCATCTCCCAGATGCCCTGGAGAAGGAAATGGCACCCCACTCCAGTATTCTTGCTTGGAAAATCCCATGGATGGAGGGGCCTGGCAGGCTCTGGGGTTGCACAGAGTCGGACACAACTAAGTGACTTCACTTTCTTTCTCTTTGAAATAAGAAGTGGATAGTGTTAAGTTCACTGACTTTGTTCTTTCTTCTTTTGATGGCACCAGATGCCATGATCTTTGTTTTTTGAATTTTGAGTTTTAAGCCAGTTTTTTCACATTCCTCTTTCACCTTCAACAAGAGGTCTTTAGTTCCTCCTCTTTGCTTTCTGCCATAAGGGTGGTGTCATCTGCATATATGGGGTTATTGATATCTCTTCAGGCAATCTTGATTTCAGCGTGAGCTTCATCCATCCCAGCATTTCGCATGATGTACTCTGCATATAAGTTAAATAAGCAGATTAACAATATACAGCCTTGACGTACTTCTTTCCCAATTATGAACCAGTCCATCATTCCATCTCTGGTTCTAACTGTTGCTTCTTGACCCACATACAGATTTCTCAGGAGGCAGGTAAGATGGTCTGGTATTCTCATCTCTTTAAGAATTTCCCACAATTTTTTTGTAATCCACGGATTCTGTTAAAGTTTCTATTTCTTTCTGAGTCAGTTTTTATAAGCTGGATTTTTCTAGAAATTTGTCTATTTCACCTATATACATTTTCAAATTTCTTGGTATAATGTTCATAATAGTATTCTGGTATAGTAATTGTAATATTCAAGAGTCTGTAAGTAATGTACCTTTTCCATTCTTGAAATTGCTTTATTGTATCTTCTTTTATCAGTTTCCATGTGTGCTCAGTCGTTTCCAACTCTTTGTGGCCCCATAGACTACATGGAGGCTTCCAGGCCCCTCTGCCCATGGAATTTTCCAGGTAAGACTACTGGATGGGTTGCCATTTTCTTCTCCAGAGGATCTTCCCGACCCAGAAACAGAACCTGAGTCTCTTGCGTCTCCTGCATGGGCAGGCAGATTCTTTACCACGAGCGTCACCTGAGAAAACAGTGTCTGCTGCTGTTCAGCTGCTCAGTCGTGTCCGACTCTTTGTGATTCCATGCACTGCAGCGCGCCAGGCGTCCCTGTCCTTCACCACCTCCCAGGGTTTGCTCAAACTCATGTCCATTGAGTCGGTGACACCATTCAACCACCTCATCCTCTGTCACCTGCTTCTCCTGCCTTCAATCTTTCCCAGTATCCGGGTCTTTTCTAATGAGTCCATTCTTCACATCAGGTGGCTAAAGTATTGGAACTTCAGCATCAGTCCTTCCAACGAATATTTAGGGTTGATTTCCTTTAGGAGTGACTGGTTTGATGTCCTTGCAGTCCACAGAACTCTCAAGGGTCTTCTCCAACACCACAGTTTAGTTTCCATACTGGTATGTAAATTTTACTTACATTGTCAAAGACAAAGAGTCAACTTTTAGCTCTGTGGATCCTTTATGTGTTGTTCCATTTCACTACTTTCTTCTCCTTTTAATAGGTAAGAAGTAGACTTATTTAGAGAGAAACACACTCCACAGAGTGTGGGCCATCTCAGAAGTTGAGAGGCTCATTTCATTATTTTCTACTTTGTTATTTCCTTCTACTTTCTTTTATTGTTGTTGTTTTTTCCCTTGTTCTTGGGAGGAAAGTGTCACTAATTTAAAAGTCTTGGAAATCCCCTGGTGGTCCAGAGATTAAGGATCCACACTTCCAATGCAAGGAGTGTGGGTTCAATCCCTGGTCAGGGAACCAAAGATCCCACATGCTGCAGCAATAAACAAGTGAACACATAAATGTCTGTGTTCCTTTAATACATGCATTCAGCTTGATAAATTTCCTTCAAATTAATCTTTTAGTTGTATCCCTTGCATTTTTAAAAATGTTTTGAGAGCAGTTTTAGGTTTAAAACAAAACCTAAGAGGGAGGCACAAATATTTCCACATACTTCCTTGTTCCCTTAAACACACAGCTTCCCCCACTATCAGTATCACTCATCAGAATGACATACAGTTTGGTTTTTTTTTCTTACACCAAAGATTAACCAACACTGACACCACATAATCATCCAAAGCCAACAGCTTACCTGTGAACCCTATGGCTCACTCTTGGTGTACATTCTATAGGCTCAGACAAGTGCATAATGTATCTATCATTTATACTATCAGACAAAGGATTTTCACAGCCTGAGAAATCCTCTGTGCTCTGCCTATTCATTTCCTCCCCCTTAAGGTACATTTTCTATTACTTACTCAATATCAGAAGGAATTTTATATACAGTTATCTGATAAATCAAAGAATAAAACGCTTGCTCCTTCATGGTTTTATGGTAGGTGTAATAAAACTGCAGGTATTTAAACCTTTTAAATTATTTAACTTAAAAGTTAAAACTCTGGGAAGCAAAGATCACCAAAGCTTGACATCTTTGGAAAGACTTGCTTGTTCCTTTTAAATCTTTGGGAAACAAACACTTGTGCAGTATTAACCATTAGTTAAATCTCAGGTTCACATAATTACCAAGTTAAAATTTAGATTAATTATAGTTTGGTCTCTTAGCAATCATCTATTAAATTCTATGTCCATAACTAAAATTACATTAGAAAAACTCAAAAACTTAAGAGTGGTCCGTGATTAGACTTGATTCCAGTCACAAAAGGTTATGTTCAGAGAGTCTCTTTCCCTTAGCAAAGTCTCTGCCTTTACCTGGTGTGCGGCTCTGGAAGACTTAGAAAACTGTTTCTCCAAGATGTTTTTCAAATCTACTGGTAAAGTTTCTTGTGAACCAGGGCTAAAAGAGAAAAGTACTGTTGTGAATTATTTTAAAACAATCCTGCTTATAGAAAGGAAAATACTATTATTTACTGAAAGTTATATCAAACATTGAGCAAATGGAAAGTCACAAATCCCTAAACAGAAATATTACCAAGATGCTGATTCTCTGCCAAATAATTTCTCAATTTAATAAAACCCCTATTAAATTAGAGGGGAAGGAGGACCAGATGAACTCATTATACAAACATTATGGAAGAACAGCTTAAGAAAAAAAAGAAATTTGGGATTTACACTGATCATCAAGTTATTACAAATTTAAGTCAACCAAATACCTGTGATTTTCCACACCAATTCTGCAACAACAACTGAGAGTCCAACAATTCAATCCTAACACCAGCTGCAGAGTTAGTAACTCAGGCCCCACAGGTAAGGGGCTCAGTCCCACACGGCTGCCCTCACTTCAGCCACGGTGCGGTACCCAGGCTGCCCACACTTATGCCCCACTGACTACAACTTCAGGGGTTCCTGTGACCAACCCTTAGGTTCAACTATTCCTGAGGACAACCCACAAAACTCAGGAAAGCACTTTACTTACAGTTATCAGTTAATTATAAAGGACAGAGGTCGGGAGCAGCTCAGGAAAAGACGCAGGGAAGGTGTGGGGGGCGAAGTGCCACGCTGCTTTCACACTGCCCCCGAGTCACTGCTCCCCGCCATCTCCATGTATTCACCAACCCAGAAGTTCCCTTAACCCCTGTGTTTACAGGTTCTCATTGAGGTCTCATTACACAGGCATGAATGATTAAATTACTGGCCACTTGTGACTAAACTCAATTTCTAGCTCCCTTCCCCTCCCAAAAGATTGGGGGGTGAGGGGTGCTGAAAGTTCCAACCAATCACACGTTTTATCTTTTTGGTGACCAGCCTCAATCTTGAAGACAGAGGACCAGTCTTGAGTCACCTTATTAGTATAAACTCAAGTAGGGAGGAAGGAGCTCCAAAGTCTTTCAGAAGTAACCAAAGACTCTCTCTTTACTCAGGAAACTCCAAGGGTCCTAGGAGTGCTGTGCCAGGAACTGGGGACATGGACCAAATCTATAAACATCTTTCTTACACCATACCTTCTCGCAGCTTAGTACCAGTATGAACACTGCATTTTTTAGAGGAAAATATGGCAAAACTAGTTACATATACCCTTTGATGGCAATTCCTACTCTAGACATTCCTCCTTCACTAACAGCTACACCATGAAATATCCTACAGCCATGAAAATGAAGAATGTATATATCCATGGTCTGATATGGGAAGGTAGTCAAGGCATTTTAGAAGAGATAAAAGCAAGCTAGAGGCCAGAATGGTTCTAACAATGAAAATGATAGTGTTAACAATGACGACAGTTTCAGTGTATTGAACATTTACCATGTTCCAGGGCTCTAAGAATTTTACGTGGTTGTCCTACTGGGGCTTCCCTTGTAGCTCAGTTGGTAAAGAATCTGCCTGCAATGCCAGGAGACCGGGGTTCAATTCCTGGGTCGGGAAGATCCCCTGGAGAAGGAAATGGCAACCCACTCCAGTATTCTGGCCTGGAAAATTCCATGGACAGCGGAGCTAGTGGGCTACAGCCCATGGGGTTGTAGAGTCGGACACAACTTAGTGACTAAACCACCAAACCACCATCCACTTTATTATTTAATAACCTCATGAAATAGATACAATCAAGAAGAGCATTCAGTTTGAAAACAGAAACAAAACATCAAGAAAATCGAGTTATCTTTAACACAATGGGTTGAAATTTTAACTATGCATTCAAAGAATAAACATATAGTGGGTTTTGGTTTCTTTTTGTGCTGAGAGAAGAGGGGTGAGGAGGAAGACCCAGGGCTTTTCCAACAAATAAGAGAATAACATAAGGCACTATGGCTTTACTTTGTATTTAACTTTTGTAGCACCATCAAAAAATGGTACTTTACTAATTTCTCTTAGTGTTATGATATTCAAATGATATTCATTCTCCTTGAAGCACCTATCAAGGAATCAGCCTTCAGATACAAAGAGAAAACCAAAGACTAGTGGAACTGTGGCAAGGAAGGCTTTGCAGTTTTACCAGCATCATTTTCACTGTTTTCATGAATTTCTGTATCTACTGTAAGATTTACATTTTCACTTTGCTATCAATTTACATCACTGTAGGTAACGGGAGATTAACTATAAAGATTGGTGCCAGGAGACCTGGCAGTCTAGCTCTGTGGTATGAGTTTGAAAGCTGTTTTAGAAGGTCAGGGTGGCTCTCTCTCCAAAGCCCTCTGCCTCTGCTACTATGAGCCTCATAACTACAACAAAACCATGGGCCCCTGGAAGCAGAAGCACTGCCATGCAGAAGGTGGGGACAAATTGACATTTGGAAACATTTTGGTCAAGAGTTCTGATGTTTGTTGAGCTCGCAGTTGTGAAGCCAAGATGAGTCATTAGAGGTCAAAGGCAAGGACTGTCCTCAGATTTTGGAGAAAGCTTCTTTGAAAAAGTTCACATGACAGATGGATGCAATTTCATTCCCTAGGATGAAGGAAAGCTGCTCAAAAACAAAATTATGACAACTGCATATAAGAGGATCCTAAAAATTTAAACTTGGAGAAAAGAGCCAAAATATTTTGCTTTTTAATGTATGAAGAACAGTGGGAAATGTGTTTGAATAGGGATTTTATTCTGAAATGACAAGTGAATTCTCTACAATTATAGCTTGTAACTATCACATAGCTCATATATATTGCAAATACATATGTTAAGAACAGAAAACATAAATGATTAAGGGGAGGGTATACCCTTATCTGAAAAAGGCTTTATTTGTCTTGAAGAGGGCTATTGAGGAGAGAGTTTCTGACTAGGTTTGAAGTAGACAGGATAAGGAAGGGAATTTTACAGAAAGTTACTAGGCTGCATTTACAGAGGTGAGATTATGTAAATTAGTCAATGATATAGTTATTTCAGAAACCACTAAGCACATGCAAGATGATCTAAACTTCAGACAGACCTGAATTCAGATGCCAGTCTGTGTTTGTGGCCATATGACTCTAGTAAAGGGTAAACCCTCTGACTACGTCTCTGAAAACAAGGCTAATAATTCACTTTTTACATATCCTTGGGGAGAACGAATGAGCTACTAGCAAAGTGTCTACTGTAATGTTAAAAAAAGTTGTCTTACTTGGAAGAAATGGACAAGTTCTTAGAGAAGTATAACTTTCCAAAACTGAACCAGGAAGAAATAGAAGATCTTAACAAACCCATCACAAGCAAGGAAATCGAAACTGTAATCAGAAATCTTCCAGCAAACAAAAGCCCAGGACCAGATGGCTTCACAGCTGAATTCTACCAAAAATTTAGAGAAGAGCTAACACCTATCTTACTCAAACTCTTCCAGAAAATTGCAGAAGAAGGTAAACTTCCAAACTCATTCTATGAGGCCACCATCACCCTAATTCCAAAACCAGACAAAGATGCCACAAAAAAAGAAAACTACAGGCCAATATCACTGATGAACATAGATGCAAAAATCCTTAACAAAATTCTAGCAAACAGAATCCAACAACATATTAAAAAAATCATACATCATGACCAAGTGGGCTTTATCCCAGGAATGCAAGGATTCTTTAATATCCGCAAATCAATCAATGTAATACACCACATTAACAAATTGAAAGATAAAAACCATATGATTATCTCAATAGATGCAGAAAAAGCCTTTGACAAAATTCAACATCCATTTATGATTAAAACTCTCCAGAAAGCAGGAATAGAAGGAACATACCTCAACATAATAAAAGCTATATATGACAAACCCACAGCAAGCATCACCCTCAATGGTGAAAAATTGAAAGCATTTCCCCTGAAATCAGGAACAAGACAAGGGTGCCCACTCTCACCACTACTATTCAACATAGTTTTGGAAGTGTTGGCCACAGCAATCAGGGCAGAAAAAGAAGTAAAAGGAATCCAGATAGGAAAAGAAGAAGTGAAACTCTCTCTGTTTGCAGATGACATGATCCTCTACATAGAAAACCCTAAAGACTCTACCAGAAAATTACTAGAGCTAATCAACGAATACAGTAAAGTTGCAGGATATAAAATTAACACACAGAAATCTCTTGCATTCCTATACACTAACAATGAGAAAACAGAAAGAGAAATTAAGGAAACAATACCATTCACCATTGCAACAAAAAGAATAAAATACTTAGGAGTATATCTACCTAAAGAAACAAAAGACCTATACATAGAAAACTATAAAACACTGATGAAAGAAATCAAAGAGGACACAAACAGATGGAGAAATATACCGTGTTCATGGATTGGAAGAATCAATATTGTCAAAATGGCTATACTACCCAAAGCAATCTATAGATTCAATGCAATCCCTATCAAACTACCAACGGTATTTTTCACAGAACTAGAACAAATAATTTCACAATTTGTATGGAAATACAAAAAACCTCGAATAGCCAAAGTAATCTTGAGAAAGAAGAATGGAACTGGAGGAATCAACCTGCCTGACTTCAGACTATACTACAAAGCCACAGTCATCAAGACAGTATGGTACTGGCACAAAGACAGAAATATAGATCAATGGAACAGAATAGAAAGCCCAGAGATAAATCCACGAACCTATGGTCACCTTATCTTCGACAAAGGAGGCAAGGATATACAATGGAAAAAAGACAACCTCTTTAACAAGTGGTGCTGGGAAAACTGGTCAACCACCTGTAAAAGAATGAAACTAGAACACTTTCTAACACCATACACAAAAATAAACTCAAAATGGATTAAAGATCTAAATGTAAGACCAGAAACTATAAAACTCCTAGAGGAGAACATAGGCAAAACACTCTCCGACATAAATCACAGCAGGATCCTCTATGACCCACATCCCAGAATTTTAGAAATAAAAGCAAAAATAAACAAATGGGACCTAATGAAACTTAAAAGCTTTTGCACAACAAAGGAAACTATAAGCAAGGTGAAAAGACAGCCCTCAGATTGGGAGAAAATAATAGCAAACGAAGCAACAGACAAAGGATTAATCTCAAAAATATACAAGCAACTCCTCCAGCTCAACTCCAGAAAAATAAATGACCCAATCAAAAAATGGGCCAAAGAACTAAACAGACATTTCTCCAAGGAAGACATACAGATGGCTAACAAACACATGAAAAGATGCTCAACATCACTCATTATCAGAGAAATGCAAATCAAAACCACAATGAGGTACCATTACACGCCAGTCAGGATGGCTGCTATCCAAAAGTCTACAAGCAATAAATGCTGGAGAGGGTGTGGAGAAAAGGGAACCCTCTTACACTGTTGGTGGGAATGCAAATTAGTACAGCCACTATGGAAAACAGTGTGGAGATTTCTTAAAAAGCTGGAAATAGAACTGCCATATGACCCAGCAATCCCACTTCTGGGCATACACACCGAGGAAACCAGATCTGAAAGAGACACGTGCACCCCAATGTTCATCGCAGCACTGTTTATAATAGCCAGGACATGGAAGCAACCCAGATGCCCATCAGCAGACGAATGGATGAGGAAGCTGTGGTACATATACACCATGGAATATTACTCAGCCATTAAAAAGAATTCATTTGAATCAGTTCTAATGAGATGGATGAAACTGGAGCCCATTATACAGAGCGAAGTAAGCCAGAAAGATAAAGACCATTACAGTATACTAACACATATATATGGAATTTAGAAAGATGGTAACGATAACCCTATATGCAAAACAGAAAAAGAGACTCAGATGTATAGAACAGACTTGTGGACTCTGGGAGAAGGCGAGGGTGGGATGTTTCAAGAGAACAGCATCGAAACATGTATATTATCTAGGGTGAAACAGATCACCAGCCCAGGTTGGGTGCATGAGACAAGTGCTCGGGCCTGGTGCACTGGGAAGACCCAGAGGGATCGGGTGGAGAGGGAGGTGGGAGGGGGGACCGGGATGGGGAATACATGTAAATCCATGGCTAATTCATTTCAATGTATGACAAAAACCACTGCAATGTTGTAAAGTAATTAGCCTCCAACTAATAAAAATAAATGGAAAAAAAAAAAAGTTGCCTTATCAAGAAACAGTAACCATAATTCATTATTTTTAAATACACTTTTTGATGTGAACTTATTTTGAAGAGCTCTGATATGCTGGCTATTCACAGGTACCTGCTCTTGGATTTTTCCCCATTTATATCAGTAACCTCAGATATGCAGATGACACCACCCTTATGGCAGAAAGTGAAGAAGAACTAAAGAGCCTCTTGATGAAAGTGAAAGAGCAGAGTTTGGGTAGACTCCGGGAGTTGATGACGGACAGGGAGGCCTGGCGTGCAGTCCACGGGGTCGCAGGGTCGGACACGGCTGAGAGACTGAACTGAACTGAATGTATAAATTTTAGGGTCAAGTTGATTCAAGGAAAAATATTTGTTCAAATGGGATCTAATTTGTGAGATACACAGACACATCTGATGTAACAAATAAAATATCTCCTCAAAAAAAAGGGGGGGAATTCACTAAAAAAAAAAAAAAGATTGGTGTCAAGCGTTCCTACTGTTAATTGGGGGAAATGCTTGGTAGAACCAACTTTGTTAAGTGGTCGGTCTATTAGTAAATCCTTTCCTCTAATGGGATAATGACTCAAAAAGGCCTCTGAATTCACGCACGGCCCTGTCAGGGCACGTAGAATCAGTTTCCAGATGGTCAAGAAATGATTAATAGCGATTTCTAAAGAAAGGCACCAGAGAAGGAACTGAGAGACAGGTGAAATCAAGTGAACAGTGAAGGAGATCAAATATTTACTTTACAGTTATCTGCATATTTCTTCCCCTTCCTCTTATGAGCATGTATTTTGAAATTTTAGAAAATTAATGCTGCTATATCTCCTATTATATGACTCTCAGTTAATTAACATCCAGGATTAAATAATCCTCTAGCCAAAAATGATCTTCTTCCAAGACATGCCTAGACATTTGAAAGAGACGTACTTATCATAATACACATATGCAGAAGTAGCTACTACTTGAAAGAGATTTATTTTTCCTTTCTTCTTGGGAGGTGGACATTATGGAAATGAAATAAAGCAAAAGCAAAAAATAAAGATAAGAAACATACCTGAACTTCTCCAATTCATTGTTTCGAGATTTTTGTTTCCCTTTATATTTTGGAGGCTGACCTGCGAATACAAAAGTATTTGTTCCTGAAATCTGTACATAAAAATCTACAAGCTTAAAAGTAAAGTTTTTTAAAAAATGTAAATTGGAATAATAAAGCAAAGGGAGCAATATTGTGAGTCTAACAGGTAAGCTATTAAAAAAAACCAGCTACTGATAATGTTTCTCTATGTATGCCATAAAATTACTGCAAGAATAAATTATAATGATGATTATCATTTAACCCTATAGTAGATACAGAAGAGATATAGTTTACAAAAGAGATATAGAAGGCTACAGTTTTTTTTTTCAGGCTACAGTTTCTATTTTCAGGGAGTTTATAATCATATGGGAAGAAAAGATAGTCACTTCAGTAATTAAATAACAATCTCCACTAAGTAAAAAAGAAGATTCTATGTTGTTATTGAAATATCAATCCCATAGTAACTGCTACTGTAATTCCTAGAAGGGAAAATCACGTAAATTGGAGTGACTGGGAAAGGCGTCGGGGGGATGCAGCATCTGTGTTTAAGGTAACAAGCAAGATTTACACAGAATGGGCCAACTGGAGTTCATTTGAAGAAGCACTCGGCAGACCTGTGTGATTGAGAGGGCTAAGTAAGGACAGGCTGAAAGGGGCAGGTGGTTTGACCGTGTGAATGCCCCTGCTTCTGAGCCCCAGCTCTGCAGCTCGGCCTCGACCTCCTCAGGAGGAGCAGAGCGCCACTGCACACAGCTGCGCAGACAAGAACACAGGCACGGACAAGGCGCGTGTGAAGGAAGCGCTGGGAGAAGAAGTCAGCCACATACCAGGCACGGGCTGACAGCCTGAGCTCTGGGCGCCTCAGAAAACCAGAGGCTTCTGGAAAGAAGAGCTCCAGTTTGATTTCTACTGGGTGACCTAGGGCAAAATTTAATTAATCTAACTCTGGGACCTCAATTTCTTTGAACATAGATGCAGAACTATGAACAGTATTTAAATGATTTAAATGTTCTGTCTAATAATGGCCTAAGAAATAACAGTAAATTAAAACCTGGTTTTAAAGAAAAAGTTTTATTCTCAAATATTTTGCATATGCCATAAAGTCACATCAGGTAAGGCAGACACCTGTGTTTCTCCCCTTTATATCTGTGCTACAGTGCTAACCAGTACTAGGTGGTTGGATATGCAGCACTGGAGCCGAAGAGAAGATAGAGCTGCAGGAAGTAAAAGACCATAATGGCTGCTGGAAGTAAAAACACTGAAAAAAAATAAAGGAACCAAAACACTAGTGAAAGGAAAAGAGGGCAACAGGATCACTAACTAGAAGGTCAACCATCTCACCACACTAGCTCTGAAAGGAGCTCATGAAAGCTTGAGGAAGTAATGTGTGTGTAACCACAACCTTGAACCATCAAGAAAATCTGAATTCCCTCAAACTTTGTCTTAAAAGGCAGAGAAGAATGAAATCCACTTCAGAAGGACTTCCTTCAGAAGCGGGAAGTATAAAGGGACACCGAGAAAAAAATGTGGCATGAGTATTTGCTTCTCTGAAATCTTTCATTTCCTTAAGACACCAAGTAGATGAGGTCTGCTGTGTGTCTCCGTGTTTTCTGGATACATAAATAAATGCATGCACTAAACACATATAATTTAAATAAACTAGTATTAAAGTATATGCATTCTCAACAGGGGTGACATAAAGTTGGAATTGGTTACTGGAAGATGAAAAAAATCTGTTTTTATATATAAAAGCACACATGTACATACAGAACATAAAACAGATAAATGGTATCTGAAGTATCAAAGTTTCATGAAAGGAGAAACAGCTCTGAGAGCAGGGGGTAGATAATGAAATAAATGAAACACTGACCTAGTGGAAATTAGGTAGCAGACCAAGAGAGCATTTTTCCTTCCCATACCTTTACCTGGATTTCAAAAATTAAATTAAGTACTATGAAAAGACTGAGCATTTATTTCAAATAAATATTCCAATTTTTTCTAGACTCAGAAGCACTGCAAAGTAAAAGGAGAACAGCAGCAAATACAAGTGAGGCTTTTGCGAATTTTAGCATGTAGAAGCTTAGGCAACACTTCACCAATTCAGCAAAAATTTACAGAAAGGGAAAAAACTCACTTGATGGTGGTACAAATTCAGGATGACAGTCACAATCATCTACTTTCAGAGCTTCATCTACCACCTACCATGAAAATAAAATTACTGAGATTAAAAAAAAAAATACAGCCATCAACAGCTAAATAAGTAAACAGAATTTATCTAAGCACCTAAAACATTCAGCTTTACCAAGTGAATAAACCAACAAAATGGTAAGTACTGCACAATAAATGCTGAATTAATCCTATCACATCTTTCCTTATGCTCCTCTCCCAAACTGAATATAGTCTCTTTGAGACTTTCATTATTAACAACAAAAGAATTATATGGTGAATTGGCAAAGTTCCCTTCAATGCCCACCTAAGTCCAAAACACCAATTCCCCTTTTTCCCTCTCAAGCCCTGGAAAGAAATATAAATGGGAACTTGACCTTTGAGTACATTACAGGTCAGAGGAAAACTCAGACACAGGTCATCTGGGACACTGAGCATAGAGCCGGGCTATAGGCTTAGAGATGCCTATTAGTTTCCATTATCACAAAAACATGATAATAAAATACGAGACTATCTATACTCAAAATAATTTCAATACTGGTTTTTAACTGAGCTTACCTTTGGATTCTGATTACCACCGTTTGCCATTTCGTGGTTAGTTTTTCTGAATTTTTTTTCAGTTTCCACAAAGTTAAGTGAAGTACTAAATGCAGGTGCTGATAAACTAGGTAGGTAGGCCCTAAGCAGTAATAAAAGAAATAATATTTCTATTGATTAGTATTTTTAAAAAGTTATCCTTCAAACAAGGACGTTTTTAGCAATTATAGCCTTTTTTCCTCGAAAGCAAAGTAACAGCTTCAAAAAGAATCTCTATCTCTGAGATTGGGTTTTTACATAAATACTGCTTTAAATTTGGAATTAAAAGTTCAAAATAGATAAAGAACAACCCAAGAAATGTATACTGGTTTCTAATATTAAAATAAGTAAGTCTCTCTGTTATAAATTTAACAGCTTCATCATCCCAGGCATGTGGGTTAAAGCATGTGGCTAAAGTTTACTCTATTTTAACTGCCAAATAAAAAAACATAGAATCCTGACTGCTGTCTGTTTTCTTATGAGCAGAGGAAAATGAGCTTAAGTCTATCTGCTGCCTCCTTCTAACAGGAGTGCCTCAGCCTTTTTTTGAAGAGTTATCAGGAGGCTGGAGGCAGAGGCCTCCAGGATGAAGGTGAGGGGTGAAAGGCACAGACTGTGCCCCTGGTCTCTGCCGCCAGGACCCTCATGGCCGAAACCGGTGCCACTGAGGCACAGTTAGGTCCTCTCCACACGCCACGCCTCCTCCCCACGCGCTCAGGCATATATATGCAAATAGCTCAGCAAAACAAATCACCTAATCTTACAAACACACTTTAAAATCTCTTCTTGGGATTTTCCTGGTGGTCCAGTGACCAAGACTCTGCACTTTCAATTGCAGGAGTCCCGGGTTCGATTCCTGGTCGGCAAACTAGATCCCACACGAGGTAACTAAAAATTCTGCATGCCGCAACTAAGATCTGGGGCAGCCAAATAAAAAATATTAAAATCAGTAAAATAAAACGTCCTCTTGTCCTTCCACTCCCAACTTTATTGTGGTTGCTATTAAATATTAAAGCATCAGACAGCAACTCAAACTCACAGAGCAAAACCACTCCAAGTAACAGCCACTGATCTGATATTAACTCACCTGCTTTCACAGAAAGCTTTGACTGGATTACTAGCTGGTATTCGACCTATAAAAACGAACCACACACACACACACAATAATCAGTGGATTGGCAACACATACTTCAAAAGATTTTCACATTTCTTTTAGGCTGACAATAAGGCTATCAAATTTAGGGAATTGAAAAGTAAACCTAAGCAATTTTACACTTCCAGATGTTTTTAGTTTTAGAATGATGTCAACAAGATGCTACACAAACCTTATTTGACATCCCATTACATGTGATCATTGACTAGGTGCAGCAATGTATAAATCTCAATCAGAGATGGTACCTGTCTTCGAGGAGCTCACAATCTGATAAACGTGTCCTGTTGGGTGACAACATCTGACAGTGAAATAGGACTGCTGGGCTCAGCTTCGTGAGACACTAGCTACTCACAGAAGAAAGAACAGGAAAGGACTCTATGCTGAGTAAGGTAACTTCAGGCACTGGAGGGAGCAAAATAACTCAGGAGAGAAAACAAGGGTGGAATGAGAACCTGGAGTTCCCAGCCTGCACACTAACTTCTGATGTACCTATGTATACACACACACTCAGCATGCTACAGAATTAGCCACAAACTTGGTGCAAAAACAAACAACTCTACTGAAGGGCCTTTTTTTTTTTTTTTTAGGAAATAACTGTAATAATGGAGGAAGAAATTTAAAACTGTTTCAAAAGGTTTTCTTTCATTCAAAATTTCAAGAACGCATATTTTTCTACAGAAGAATAAGTAATTTATTGCTATTTCAAATAAAAAGTACAAATCATTTATTATTACCAACTGGAATATAATACTAACAGAATTCTACATGAATACAAATGAGAAATTTATGTGAGCTGACCAAGATAAATAAAATATAAGTACAAATCTTCTGAGAACTGATTTTTGGTCCTCCATTAATCCAAGAAACCCACCTGTGAAAGTTTTTAAGGGAATTCGACTGTAACCAAAAGAATCTTAGGTGAAATACCTTGCAGGTCTTCTATTTGTTTTTGTAACTTTACATGCTGCTGAATTAGATCCTTGATTCCCTCAGGGTCATTTTTACAGAGTTTTTGAGCTTTTATGTTTGCTTGCAGGGCCCAGTCATATTCCCCCAGCATAGAAAGAGCAGCACAATAACGATAATGACCCTGTTCCAAAAAGATAAATTCAATTTTTTCTCAAAAATATACTTAAAGAAAATTTAATGAAAAAATATTTTGCTTGAAAACTGGTTAGTTACTTGAAATGTTACACTAGGATCCTCTCAGTAAAAAATAAATGAAAATGTTAATACCTCTCAGGAAGTAAAATTACCTAAAAGAGTTAAATGAAAAGCTATGAACAACAATTTTTAACAACTGACTATAGAGATCAGTGTTTTTGCTTAAGAGATTTTTGTATCCACCCAAAAGAAAACAATTCAACCTTTACTCTATGTAAAAGACATTATTTTGTGCCAAATAAAGTATAAGAGTAATTCATTATAAATGAGTAACTTAATTTTTTTCAAAGTATTTTTAGGCAATAATAGTCTCTAAGTCATTCCACTCCCTATAATTTTTTTTTAACTTTTAACTTTTTATTTTGTGCTGGGGTCTAGCCGATTAACAATGCTGTGGTAGTTTCACGTGAACAGCAAAAGGACTCAGCCATACATATACATGCACCCACATTCTCTACACTTTTGAAATCAACAGTTTTAGAGCTGGAATGAACAATCAGCTTGTGCAGTAGTCTTCCAACCCCTCTGAAGAGCATGGGCACAGATAAGGGGTGCATATATTACTCCCATCTTTCTTAATCAGCTTTTAATTATTTTATCTCTAAGTATAGTTCTCAGCTTTAAGAAAAGATCCAAAAACCACTGATTTACTCTTAATTCCAATGAAGAGGTTGTTTCTTTTTTTTTGCTACAGAATCATAGTTCTAACTGTCCCTTACTTTATGTGTTTTGGGAAATCTATATCAAGCTTGAACATTTTAATTCAGAAAGTTAATATTACCAAAACTAGGGCTAACTCAGACAACCCCTCTTTTAGCTACCCCCAAACCAAATCCCTGTTTTAGGCTTGATATCTCCATTTAAGAAGTGATTTACAAGTGTGAGAGGCTAGAACTGGCCTAATGCCACATTTATTTAGAGACAAGCCAAAGAACTTGGATCTTAGGACTCCAGGTCCAGAGCTCTTCCTCTTTACTACACATTTTACAAAGAAAATTCTTATTCTATTAGAAAATATGCTGTGGAATACATGTAAATCCATGGCTAATTCATTTCAATGTATGACAAAAACTACTGTAATGATGTAAAGTAATTAGCCTCCAACTAATAAAAATAAATGAAAAAAAAAATTGTAAGGGCCAGTCCCAAGTAAAAAAAAAAAAAAAAGAAAATATGAAATCAGAAATAAATGATCCGTTTAAGAAAGATGAGTTTTTCACTAAGAGCAGCAAGAAACAACCAGAGGACCTATGTTTACATAGGTTTGGTGCATATACAATCCCACTTTGGTGTACCAACCCAAGCGGAGAGGTCAGAGCATTTCCTGAGCAGGCTCTTCAGGCTCAGCTCAGTGACCCCCAATTTATACTGCATTTGGTTACACTCTGCTTTTCCTCCAAAGACAGGAAGATAAGAGACCTCACAGTTATACTACAAGACCAAAATTCTATCCACTAAGCATAAACCAACCTCAAACTTTAAATAGCTGCATTAAAAAAAAAAAAAAATCACAGCATAGGAAATTATGGGAGATTATAAACCTCACCTACTAAATTTGTAGAAAACACTTCATTTCTTTCTCTTTTCCACCCATCTTTTACTGGGTTCTTTTCCCTAAGCTCTGTAAAACCCAGTGTACCTTCTATCAGATGAGAAGGGAGTTTATTCAGATCTCTGTGCTGAAGTTGTTTGAATGAAGCTTCAACAAAAGGCATCTCAGAAAGCTTCTTGAACCCAACTATGATAGTTTTGCTCTTCTGTGACACTGTCTCATTCTCTATCACAGACACTGTTCCTCTACCTAGCATCTCTTCCTTCTTGTGTGCCATCACATCACTACTCTATACAGTAATGCCCGCATCTCAACAGGGCCGGCAGGGATGAAGCATAGCTGTGATCTAGGAGACTGGCCAACAGAAATGTACCATTCACAGCAACTGAACCACAGGTGGGCATATGGCTCAACCAGGATCAGTCTGAGGCACCCCACAGTTATACTATATAAATACTAACAGAGGCTCTCTTTCCACTAGCAAAGTTACTACAACCTTTCCACTAGAAACGTCAACAGAACAGTTACTAGGATACCAGGTTGGGGCTCCCACTGTTTCAAAATGAAGCCAAGAGAGCCTATTCTCTAATTACCACTTGTGATCAAGATAGATTAACAAGGATTGGATATACCCTCTTGCTTAAAAGTAAGACAAAGTCCATGAAACAAAGGTTTGCTAGACACTGGATATCAGGCAACAAAGACAGTGATTCCTGAGAGATGAGAAACAGAAAGCTCTCTGGTTGTTGCCACTTACTGAGGGAGCGCTTCTAAGCCACAGCACCGGCAGAAGGAACCCAGGGAGAGACCACAGCCTCACCGAGGACAGGAAAGCCAAGGCAGCCCAAGCTCACAGGGCAGAGGGCCGCAGGGGACAGAGCTGGAGAGAGGACTCCAGAGTTTTCAGAGCGTCCCCTTGAGTCTTCAGCTGAGCATCAATCAGTACATGCACGTGCGGCAACTACCCAAGCCAGGGAAAGAACCACTTGAAAAGACTAAAAGGGAGTAACAGTCAGCACTTGCACAGGCCAGGAGTAATTCCTGTTCCCACCAACCAGAGCGGAAAACATAATTAATTCATGGGAGTATTAAGTAGAGTACTTAACAGGGTTTGGCCTCAGTTGTGGAGGAAACAATTTAATAGACACAGATCACAGGATTAGCAGACAAGGACATTAAAATAGCTATAGATAATATATCTCATACATTCAAGAAGCTAAGCAGAAAACAGAATATATTAAGTAAAGACATAAAATATATAAGAAATACTCAAACTGAAATTCTAGAGATGACTGCTATAGCATTCAGATGAAAAAACTGCTATAGCATTCAGATGAAAAATAAATTAGATGGAAATAAAGGCAGATTAGACCTAACAGAAGAATTAGTAGACATGAGGACACAGCAGTAAAAATATAGGTAAAGTAGTACAAAGAGAGAAAAGACTGAAAATGATACAAACAGGGAAGCACCTCTGAGAAACATAAAGTGTGTACAGATCTGGATCCAACCATGCCTGAACTACCATCCAACCATAACTTTTCAATTACATGAGCCAAGAACTTCCCTGTTCTTACTTTTGTCAAATCTGAGTTAGGTTTTATCACTCCCAAATGAAAAGAGTCCTAACATACTCCTCAATATTAAAATAAGTTCTTGAGGACATTTGTGGGGCTGTTGGTTTGTATCCTGCATAAATATATCAAAAGACAATGCACACAGAAATACCAACAAATATTTGGTGACTATATTGTAAAACTTCTCACTCTTCAGGATACAATGATTCAGTCTCTTTAAGAATCAGTGATTCTTAAGAATGATTAGTTTCTTAAGCCTACAAGTATGTACAGGACTCATAAATCAACTATACCTCAATGAAAAATAATTTTTAAAAAATCATTTAAAAATTAAAGTATGTTCAGGACAACTGACATTGGACCAGTTTTCTCTATCTGGAAAAAAAGAAGAAAAATTGGTCTACCCTCACACAGAAATCTACAGACTACCCACCTATACAGGATTGTATCCTAGAGGCACAACTTTTAATAGACTCAGGTTCATAAATGGACTCTTGATAACAAGAATGCACCTTGCAGTCTACTTTGGTTTTTTAAGTTTAAAATATCCTTCAATGAGCACTCCTTTTTGGTAAAACAAAATGACAAATGACCTCAATATATAGTTAACAAATTTTTTTGAATACTTACTTGGGAGTTGTGTTTTTTTGCCCACACAAGTAACTTTTGCAACTATCAAAAAATTCCTAATTAAAAAAAAAAAGAGTGAGCCCACATAAACAGTCAACTGATCTTTGACAAAGAAACAAATGACAATACAATGGAACAAAGACAGTCTTTTCAACAAATGATAGTGGAACTGCACATCTACATGCAAAAAACTGAATCCAGACAGAAATTAACTCAGAATAGATCACAGACCTAAAACTCCTAGAGGAGAGCATAGGGGGAAAACTAGATGACACTGGGTATGGTGATGACTTTTTAGATACACCAAAGGCATGATTCATGAAAAGAAATAACTGATAAGCTGGACTTGATTAAAATTAAAACTTACACTCTGTGAAAGAAACATCAAGAACATGAGAAGACAAGCCCTGGTCTAGGAGGAAATATTTGCAAAAAATACACCTGATAACCTGATAAAGGATGTTATCCAAAACATACAGAGAACTCTTAACTCAACAATAAGAAAACAACCAATTAAAAAATAAGCCAAAGACCTTAACAGACACTTCATCAGGAAGTGTCAAATCATACAGTGGCAAATAAGTATATGAAAAGATGCTTTTCATGTCATCAAGGAAATGCAAATTAAAATAATAAGATACCACTATGAATCTATCTTCCCTTGTAGCTCAGTTGCTAGAGAATTTGCCTGCAATGCAGGAGACCCGGGTTCGATTCCTGGGTCAGGAAGATACCCTGGAGAAAGAAATGGCAACCCATTCCAGTATTCTTGCCTCGCGAATCCCATGGACAGAGGAGCCTGGCAGGCTACAGTCCATGGGGTCACAAGGGTCAGACACGACTTAGTGACTAAGCCATCCACCACCACATGAATCTATCAGAAAAGCCAAAATTCAGGACACTGACAGCACTAAATGCTGGGAGGATATGGAGCAAGGAGAACTCCCATTCACTGATGGTGGAAGTGCAAAATGGTTGAATGTGCAACACAGCTCCATTTGAAGAAGGTTCGGCAACTGTTAAGTTTTTTAGTTTAAAAAATGAAACAAAACATATTCTTATCATATGATCCAGCAATTGCACTCCTTGGTATTTACCCAAAGGAGCTGAAAATGTATGTCCGCACAAAAACCTACATATATATGTTTATAGCAGCTTTATTCATAACCGTCAAACCTTGGAAACAATCAAGATGTTCTTCAGCAGGTGAATAAATTGTAAGATATCCCGACAATGTAGTATTTTCAGTGCTAAAAAGAAATATGTATCAAGTCATGAAAAGACATAGAGGAAACTTAAATACATATCACTAAGTGAAATAAGCCAGTCTGAGAAGCCTATACATTGTATGATTCCAACTATATGACATTCTGGAAAAAGTAAACCTATGGGAACAGTAAGAAGATCAATGGTTGCTAGGAATTTGGGAGGAAGGATGGATAGGCAGAGATCAGAGGATTTCAGGGCAGTGAAAATACTCTATGAATGACAATGGTGAAACACAGGTCACTATGCATTTGTTCAAACCCACAGCAAGTCCACTTAGGGAGTGAACCCTAAGACCAACTATGGACTTTTGTTGATTATGACATGTCCATGTAGGTTCATCAGTTTTCACAGATGTGTATCTCTGCTGTGGGATGCCAATAATGGGGGAGACTATGCAAGTGTGGCACAGGGAATCTACAAGAAATCTCTGTACCGTCTTCTTAATTTTGCTGTGAACCTAAAACTGCTCTAAAAAATAGTCTTAAAAAAAAAAAGAATGAATGTTTTGTTTGATAAGTTAAACCAGGAATAAACATTCTACATAAAGTCTTCAATGTAATTAAGAAAGTTTTGAATTTAAGACATATGAAAGATAGCATACATATACAGCATGTATCTAATGGAAGTTTTGCAAGAATAAACTGGAGAGGAGGCAACATTCAAATGGTTAAGGGTAAAAATATTCCAGAAATGCTGAAAGACATGAATCCTCAGATTTTAGAAACCAAGCTATCCCAAGTATGATAAATTTAAACAAAATCCCTCCCAGACACATTGCAATAAAATTGTCAAACATTAAAGACAGTGAGAAGATCTTCAAATGCCTAGGAAAAGCAAAGCTTACTTACAAAGAAAAATAGTAGACTTGTCAACAGGGGCAAAAAAAAAAGTCAAAAGAACACTTAAACATCTGCATTGTTACTTTTTTTTTTTTTTAAGAAAGTTTTGGTACACTTTTTCTAAGTTGATAATAGACTGAACTAGCAAGTTACCTCTGGAAAATCAGTATCATGGTCTAGGTTTCAGTATTATGAACACTAGCACCCATTCATTCTGTAAGTATATTTACACAGCACCTGCCAAATGCCAAGTTCAGTGATCAGCAAAGATTATGCTTCAACTACAACAGTAACTCATAACAAAAATGGCAACAAACAGATCACCTTCAAACAGAAGCCTATCCAATGCTAGATTCTCAGTTCATTTTTGTCTCTTACTTGCAATGATACCTCACAGAAAGTCACTTTACCCTTCTGGGACTTAATTTCTTCATCAAGAAAATAAGGCATTTAAGAATTGACTCCAATATCTGGATGCAGAAGTTCACCTGGAGAATTTTATAATCCCCAGACTTGGATACACTCCTAAGCCATCTGAATCACAATTTGGAGGCTCTAAAATTCTATGATTCTATTCATTCTGGTTTAAAAACAAATATGTAAACACTGTTTTTTAAGTCTATAATTATTGGTAGCCAGTAACTCATTTTAACTCATTCATTCATTAAATATTTACTGAGTGCCTGCCATGTGCTGGGAAGCTTATCAGGCAGGTGATTCAGAAATGAACCAAACAAAAAAACCCGTCCTTAGGGAGCTCACATTATACTAAAGCACACACAAATAAGAACACAACTTATACAACATACATACGTGCAATCATGTTAAACACTAAGAGGTAAAAAGATAAAGCAGAGAAAAATAAGCAAATGTCTAGGAAGGAGCAGGTTTGGCATTTTAGTGAGGTGCTCTGGGAAGGTCACTGAGGAGAGAATGTTCAGTGAAGGAGGAAGGGAAGTAAGGGTGATTGCTCAGGTGCTGGGAAAGGCATTCTGACTCGAGGCAGAGGGAAGAGCAAGTGCACTGGGAGTGGACCTGGTACGTGTGAGGACAGTGAGGAAGCCCAGGGGCCGACACAGCGGACAAGGGAGAGGCAAGCAGGAGTGAGGTTGGAGAGACGATGGGTGGTTAAAGGCAGACAGGGGGCTGATGAGATGGATCGTAGTAATAAGTTTAATCAAATGAAAATTCCACACTCGTCCACTACTTTATTAATGTATGCTCAGGTATTTGCAGTTCTGTGTCATAAACACCACACTGCAGTGACCAAGCTTGCACATCTCACCATATACACATAGGCAAGAATGTCTGTGGAGTACACGCCCTTGGAATCAATTACAACACAGGCACATCACAGAGCTCTCCAAGTTGGCTGTGACCAATTCACACCAAACAGGCTTACTGAGAGCTCCTATTAGCAAACATACTACCAATATTCAGGACTATCGTTCTCCAACTTTCACCAATTTGAAGAACCCAAACAATATCATTATTTTTTCCACTTGTGGGTGTACATGTGCGTCTGTTTGGAGGTTCTTTATTAGGCTTTCTTGGTTTCTATTTCTTTACAATTTTAATTACCAGGAAACGGAATAGTTTTTTTCCTATCGCCCATTCAGGTTTCCTCACCTCTGAAATGCTTATTTAATGGGCCCATTTTCTACTGAGTTTCTTTATTTTTGTTCTTTGCATACTCTGAATGTAATTCCTATCAAGTTATTTCTGTTCTATATATGAGAGACTATCTCCTCCCAGACTGTAATTTCCTTTATGGCGTCCCAACATACAGAAAATTTTAAGCTTGAGATAATCATCAGAGTTTTTTCCTTCTCTGACCTGTGCATGTATGTTAAGAAACCCTTTCCCACCTCAAGATTACAAAGCTAGTCTCCAGCACTCCTGAGTCTTAAGCCTCATTTTCCACAGTCAGGTTCTTAATCCTTCCACAATGTGCAGATGCTGACACCTCAGCCACTCAGGTATGCTCATGACCCCACTCAGGTGTGTTCACAACCCCTAGGGGCGGCCTGTCCCCGACAGACACACTTGGCCCTTACCGCTGGGCAGCAGGTCCTCTCTGATTATGGAACTGAAGGTTCCCCTGCTATGCTCCTGAGTTCCACGTAATTTCATCCAACACTTTTTACAGAGGGATTTATATCCTGTAAACAGACTTTTCACTAAGTTGTACAGCACTGTTTATCCAAGTAAAGCATGAAAGAAACCTACCTTTGTCCAATTGTTCTTCAGAATGGTAGCTCTCTTTCCATCACCAAGTGCATTTCTAAAGGAAAAGGAAATAAAATGCTCAAATTTTTCAAAGGGTATTATATAGTGCGTATCTATTTGTATTTCAGATTTCCATATACAATCTAGTTTTTAATTTTTTTAATCTATGTAATATACGTCCATTATAGGAAATTTGGAAAATACAGAAAAGCAAAACAAAGGAAAAAAGTCACCCAGAGTCACAATCACAATTACCCAAGAATAGCTACTTTCAATATTTCTGGAGTATTTCCTGCACACAACTATCTACATCTCACCTATCCCTAACTTCTTATTACTCATATGAAGATTTTTTGGTACTATGTGGTACTGTCAGCAAGACTTCTGATCTTGGAGAATAAACGTCCCAGATATTTCACACAACACACTGACTAAGCTATAATGAACAGAGCATAAGTTGGGACATGAGATTAAGTCCAGCGCCATCACTAACTCTCACTGGGGCGGATAGGACGTAATTAACCTCTTTAATTACGGTCACTTTCTCACTTTCTCTTCTGTAACATGAGGCTAACAATTTTGGCTTTTCCTGTTTTCAGATACTATGCTAAAGCACAGTACGCTGTAAACTGTCGAGCACTAAGGTCTAACGCCGGGCCTCTCATAGCTTCCTTACAGTCTACGGCCTCGTCTGCCCACCTCAGCCGCCCACCAGCCCCTTCCCAGAGAACTTTACCACTGCTCAAAACTGTTCAGAGCCCAAAATCACTAATTCAGGCATCCCACTCTTTCCCCTGATAGCATAGCTCCTTCCATCCTACTTATTCAACTATTCCTACTAGCTTCTCAGGGTGCTCACATCACTGACTTTCCCATTTATTCTTTTTTTTTAAACTTCCTTATTGATCTATCTAAGAATTTGCTGGTTCCTCATTTCATATTCCCATGCATACGACTTCTTCACACTTCTTTGTCCCTATGTTACATCTTGCTCTGTGGAAAGCCCCAATGCGGGATGAGCCCCGCTTCCTGCTTTCTCCAGGACCACACGTAGGGAGCCAAGTACCAGAGAAAAATCACGGCAGAGCACAGCAGGAGCCCTACTCACTCAGGATTCCAGCGACCCAAAAGGGCCTTCGACGCTGTTAACCAACATTCTAGATCAAATCACCCTCTAATTTCGTTAAATGATCATTTCAAATCTTATGTCCTTTCCAGGACTTCCCTGGTGGTCCAGTGGTTAAAACTCTGCACTTCCAATGCAGGGGGGCATGGGTTTAATCCCTGGTCAGAGACCTAAGACCCTGAATGCCTCGCAGAGTAGTAAAAAAAAAAAAATCTTATGTCCTTTCCTTCCAACTCCCCTTTCAGCGGATGAGCTTTGCTCCTATTTCAATGATTAAACTGGACCTGGACATATCAAAGAAAACTCTCTCAATCTAGCCCTAACTTTTCTCCTTTACAATAAAAGTGTCTTCCTCCTTCTGTGGCTGATTCTTCCACTTGCACCATGTAACTACCCATCCTTACAGTATCAATCATCCCTTCTCTCTCCTGTAAAATCACACATTCCATTTCAGGAATCTACCCCATCAGTAGGTTTAATTGTGGTAAAATACACATCATAATTTATCCCATGAATCATTTCAAATATAAAATTCAGTGGTATGAAGCACATTCACATTGTCATACAACTTCCTACTGACTTTTAATCTGCTCAGATCTCTCATCTTTTAAAAAGCAAGTAAAAAATAAATAAATGGCTTAAACCCTAAGCAAACACTGTTGGTAATCTACCCAGCAGCTAACCTCCTCCTCTGACTGCTAGACACTTGTTGTGAGGGTCCACCTCTAAGACTTAAGAGATAATTCCTAGTAAGTTTGAGCCAATCATCGCAAACCCACTCTCCACTGAGTGGTTTAGGGGTACACAGTTTAGGTGTGACCCACAACTGAGGGGACCACTGACTCTTAAAAAACAGATTACAAAAACAACCAAAAAACAAAAAGATTACAAAGAACAAAACTAGGTAACTTATTCTACCAAACAGCAATACCTACTAAAAGACCATTTTTTTTTTAAAGACTAAATTCAAAAGCTATCTAAAGATAGACAGCCTGACAAACAGAAGAGGATACAGAAATCAGAAACAGATCCTGATATAGTCACCCGATCTGTATGACAAAGCTAACACTGCAGTGCATGGAGAAAACATTCTCTTAAAAGACGGGGCTGGGTCGGCTGAGGGGGTCTCTTCCATATCCCTGCAGGTAGTGCAGAGCCTGCTACGCAGAGATGCTTACCCAGTCTTTATACATTTAAACACTGAGTGGATGGATGAGTGAGTAACTGTGTCTTCCATATACACGTCGGAGGCAGAGCTGAGGCAGCGGCACAAAGAAGATGCAGGGTTGGGGGGCCGCTGGGGGAGGCCTGCAAGCAAATGGAGAAGCCAGAAAGTCCTCCTCCTCCTCTATCATCCACCCACCCACTCACTTCTCGAGCACCTGCTACATATGGGCATATGGGTGCTGTGTTATGGATGCAGTGTAGACAAGCTGGACACAGCTCTGCCCTCTTGGGGCTAATATTCCAGTGGGAGACAGATAATAAGTAAATAAAAAACAAGTGATTTCCAAGCCATGTGAAAGCTACTGAGATGAAGAGAGTGAATTATCAGGGAAAATGATCAGGGCAGGCTTCAAGGAGGAGGTGATATTTGTGCTGAAACTCTAATAAAGGGAAGGAGGGAGCCCTGTGATGCCAGGAAAGAGCGTCCCAGGTAGAGAGGACAGAGAGTGCACAGGGTCTGGGGGGCAGAGCAGTGAGGATGAGAGCGGACATCCTGGAGATAGAGGAGGGGGCAGCGACAGCAAGGTTCCTGAGTTGGAGGCCTGAGGGCCCCTGAGGGTTGGAGGTGAGGGCAGAGGCGGTCTCCAGAGCAGGAAAGAGAAACCAAGGGGCTGTCTCAGCAGAGCCGCTCTGGAAGCCTCAGGGCAGAGGTGAAGCTGGGGGAGAGGACCAGACCTGGAGGGCTCCAAAACAGGAGCCCAGGAAGCATGGAGGGGCAGGGCTAAGGGGGGTTTAGCTGTGCCAGGAGGCAGTCTGAGCTGCAGGGAAGGCCAGGCTCTGGTTGACCTCAAGAGGAGCAGGACTAGGGAGCAGTGAGAAGCTGACTGAGGCCCACTCAGAGGCTCCACAAGCAGCCAAGGGTGGGGGCAGCGAGGTGCCCTCCTCTGGCCATGTCCCTCAGAGGCAGGGGGAGCCCCTCTCTCTTGCCCTGGGAATAGCAGCCCCACCAAGGCTGGCCCTAGAGTTGGGGAGGGGGATGATTCTGGGCCCAAAAACAAAGGCTAGAAAAAAAAACTAATAGGGCTGGGTCAACTGGACATTCACATGAACCCTGACCCCTACCTCATACAAAAAACCACCTCCAGATGGATCATGGCATATCTCATGCATGTGTGTTCAGCTGAGTCCGACTCTTTGCCACCCCATGGACTGTAGCCCACCAGGCTCCTCTGTCCGTGGATTCTCCAGGCAAGAATACTATAGTGCGTTGCCATGCCCTTCTCCAGGGGATCTTTCCAACCAAGGGATCAAACCCATGTCTCTTAAGTCTCCTGCATTGGCAGGCGGGTTCTGTACCACTAGCGCCACCTGGGGCTCACCAGATGGATAGATTTAAATTCCAATAACCAGTCAAGCTTTTAGAAAACAAAAGAATATTTTGCAGAGTAGGCAAAGATTATAATCAGAACACAAAAAGTGCTTACCATAAAGGAAAAAATTTGATAAATTGCAGTACGTTAAAATTACTGCTTGCATTCATGGAAAGAAAGCAAAACAGGCAAGCCACAGAGCGTGAGAAGGCATTTGTAATATGCATATTTTGACCAATGACTCCTATCCAGTATATTTTTTAAAAACCGACTCAAAAGAAGAAAAAAAAAGACTCAAACAGGCACTTCACAAAAGAGGATATCTGAATGGTCAATAAGCGTACAAAAAAAAAATGTTCAACTTAAACCTCCTAAATTAAGAAAATGCAAATTAAAATCACAGCATCGTATCACTACACACTCAGCAAAATGTCTAAATGAAATGACACAAAATAATAAGTGTTAGTGAGGACGTGGAACTGAAACTCTCATGTGCTGCTGGCAGGAGTGTAAAATGATGCAACCACGGTGCAAATTATGTGCATAGCTGGGCATAAGCACACCCTCCTGTCCCAGCAATGCCACTCCTTTTATTACATACTTAACAGAAATGAAGACATGTTCACAATGACACTACCTGTAAAAGTACTAAAAATCCCCAAATGCCCATCAACAATAGAATGGATAAAATGTGGTATATTCATGCAATAGATGAACATTTTACAACTACATGCAACAACATGGATCTCAAACACAATGCTGAACACCAGACATAAAGAGCACGTATCACATGATTCTGTTTATATTGCACAAAGCAGGCAAAACTAACCTACAGTGTCAGAAGTCAGGACAGGAGTTATCCTGGGGGAGGAAGTGGGCAGTGACTGAGGGGGGAACAAGGGTGACTTCCAGAGTACTGGGGTTGTGATCTGGATGCTGGGTATGGTTATTTGCGTCTAGAAAATTCAACCTGCACACTTATGAACTGTACATTTCTCAATATGTGTATTAAAGATTTTTCTTTTAAAGAGTACAAGAGTCATCCTTTGCGGGAGGCTGTCATGTCCAGTGTGGGATCTGAATTACAGAAGCCCTCCGGCCATCCTGAGGGGGTGGGCAGTCTGAGGTCCAAGTCACACGGTGGGGCTGGAAAAAAAACACCACCTAGATCTTTGATGACGTTGTCATCACTAAATACACAACCCTAGAACCACCTTCTGGAACTCTTAAGTAAGTTTTCTTTACTATTTAAACCAGCTGAATAAGAGATCTCTATTTTTGAAGCCAAAATCATCTGAATACAATAGCAAACCTCTTCAGTCCTCTCTGCCTGAGTGCCTTCACCAGCTGCCTGTGCTGGCTGCCTCCATCTCCTCATCCTCACTTCTCAGC